AAATCTGTAAATTGACTGTGCTGTAAGAAACATCTGTGCTGCTGTAAGTCAGGTGTTGACCTTTCTCATCTTAAATCCTGAAGCGTTTATCTTGCATCGAGAAAGCAATTGATTCTCTCTTCAAGAGAAGCTGACATTCTAACTATATTATCTTTGATATATATGTACTCTGGTTATTGACCACATGAGAAAGTCAGATGTTGTATTTAAAGGGCAGAGCAGTATAATCTAAAATCAGGAGTACCAAGGTCTTTTGTCTCCTGACCTACAAAATTATCATCTGTGCCCACAAGAGCTCTGAGTTGTATTGTTCCTGTTGGGTATTAAATCTCTTTATAGTCTCAAACAAGATACGCGAGAAAGAATAGAAAATGCAGTCATGGACAGCCAGCTCTCGGGATGTTTAAATTGGATCGAGCAATTGATGAAGAATTTTGGTGCATCACATCAAGGCCTATAAATGATGTCTGACCTACTCGTATCTTCAAGGTTTAAATAATAAGTTTGGCATTAAAAGCAAACAAACAAGTAATTTCTGTTACTGGAAATAAGGATATTCTTTAGTCTTCGAGGAGGTTGAACATCTGCATAGTCTCCCTCTCGAATTTGGCAAAGGAGGAGCAGTGCCTGGCCAGGAGAAGGCTCTTTCCTCACCTGGAGCTAGCCAGCTGCTCTCTGTGAATCACCCAGGTGGTGGCTGTGTAAAGGCCTGTCAAGTGAAATAAAATGCTCCCAGCAGTGTTGCCATCTGGCACAAAGGCAGCTGAGATCCTGGGGCATAACCTTCTGTTGGCACAGAAGCCACAACTATAACCCGTAAAATGGGCAGATTGCAAGGGAGCTGCGGCCGCCTTTGCCCGCGCGTCCCTACAGCGGGTGGCTCAGCGCCGCCTCCCGCGTTATTCTTGCGGGCATCTGCGCGGCCCCAGCGAGGCTGAAGTTGTGGCAGCTGGAACGTGTCCGTGGTACCTGGGTGGGTACATCAGGCCCACGTGCAGACAGGATGGGTTTTGCTCCGGCTGAGCGGGGTGGGGGCCGGTCCCCTGCCAGCCCCGACAGCAGCGGGATGTCCGAGATGTGACACCCACGGGCTCTTTGGTGTTGAGGACGGCAGACAAACACGGATGAGTCGGGATGAGCTTTATTTTGAAAGAAAAAGTGTTTGCTAACTCCCATCATAATCTACCTAGGATATGGGGTCTTTAACTGATTTTACTTTGATGTTGCTGTAAGCTGGTCTTTGATAATTGCTTCCTGTAATTGGAACAAATTTATGATTATGCTAATTTGTCTGCTGCCACCCAATCTGTAGGAGCTGAGTTAATCCATATCTGCCCCTGCATTCCTTTTGTAGATCATTACGTGATTAGCCTTTGGTAGAAACTGATGGGGGCATCTTAATTCTGAGCAGATTTTAATTTCAGGGGGGAAAAAAAACATCAAATATCTTTATATAAACTTATGGCATATTCTACAAGTTTTTAAATCTGGCTCAGAATAGAAACACTGAAGATCTTCAGACAGAAAAATTCTTAAAAAGAAACATATTCCATTGTGCTATGAGCAACAGGATGACCTCCACTGAGGATAAAGCGAGGGACGTTAAATGCTGATGGGCTGGCGGTTTGGAACAACATCCCGGTTGCAGGGGGGAGATGTTTTAGGTTTCTTTGTTGCCTTTATTTTACTTGGTGGTGCAGTGTGTGTGCTGAGTTCTTCCAAAGGTTGCATCACTGCAAGTAACAACCACCTTTTGTCGTCGTGACTCCTTGAAATTTATCAGTTTATCCCATAAGTTCATCTCTTAGTTCTCCATCTTTGAAAACGTTCGTCTGCTGAGGCAGAGGCAGTGAGAGCGCCTCGGTGAATCTCTGTTTCCTTCAAGGGAGGGGGAGGCTGGAAATAGAGATGAGTATTCACAGTGTCATCAAGCCTCCAGATAAGAAGCAAAAGGCAATGCGTGCCCCCACTTAGAAATCATCTTTTGATGGCGCATCTCTCAACACTTTGCTGTTTATGTTCTGTTTAATGTTCTCCCTTCACCGTCATCATCATTCCTTTAAATGCTTTGCTTTAATGTAAATGTTTTTCATTCACCAAGCCTTGCAGTCCCAGACTCAGTAAACAAGGGATCAGTGTTGCACTCCCTCCTGGAAAAGTCTTCTACAGGCAAAACAGCCCCCAGTGCTGATGGAACAGCAGCGAGGCCTTGAACCCTCGGTGCACCCATCACTGCCCTGCCAGAGCCCCTGGCTTGGTGAGAGTCAGACTGCAAAATTTATAAATATACGAACTCTAGCCATACTAGTCATGTTTGTCATTTCGTTGAACGTTGCTGTTTGGCATTGCACTGCCCAGAGTGACTTTGATTCTGACTGTGACCATTGAATTTCTGTCACTTGATTTGTGCTAACACTGCTGTTCCATGATTTAAACTGCATTCCCAGTTTCTTTGCTGAACCCCCCTCTGATAACTAATATTAAAGTTAACTGGAGACGGAAAACTGAGTAGTAAAAGGATTGCTTGATTGTTCCTCCTCTTACCCAGACCAAAGGGAAATGCACTCCTAAACGAGAGATGAGAAGGGAAGAGCTGAGCCTTTCGGGGAGGAGCAGGGCAGCACCCGCATCAGCCGCGTCCCTCAGCCCGGGGCTGGCTCCAGCCCTTCCCTCGGGCTGCCGAAGCTGCTGGGGGTGTTCAGCTGGTGCCAAAGCGCGACTGTGTCGCCGAGGGACACAGATTCAGAGGGGGGAGGCCTTGGGGCAGAGTCCCCTCAGGAGCTCACCCTCCGGGAACGGGGCTGCCGTCGCTCGTGCGGGCGCGCGCTGCAGCAGGCAGGGTCGTGCGGTCACAAAACTTACCAAACTTTTGTGAAGGAGACTGTTAATAAAATAATCTTTTTAAAAGGGTGAGATTTGAGAGGAAAAATGTAACAGCGCTACAACAGCTTTATGAGAATGCAGAAATGGAGCTGTGTCCTGAATGCTTAATGTAGGCTTGGACGGGGCCGTTCTGTCCTTGGTACCATTTTGCTTGAGGAGAAGAGGATGTAGAGCCAAAATCTTTTAACACCTTTTGGTATGAAAAGAGGAATGTACCGTGCTGAGGCACCCCCTCTCTTGACAGATGTGTAAAATAATCACCTGATGGAATTCCGCCGTCGCCGTGTAGGACGCGGGTGCCCAGCCCTGGCGCCGGGACACGGGGACTCTGCCTGCCCCCGCCCCGCCTGGCTGGTGCCTCGGGCAGGGGAACCTGCTCCCTGCCATGAAGCCCAGTTGGCTTTGACCGTCAGCTTTTCCAGATTTGTTTATAAACTGGAAAATCTACAAACTGCAGACCATCTGCGCAGAGCAGTGTGCTAATGGATGCCTGTAGCTAAGCAAATCTGTAAGCTCATTACCACAAAGTTCCAAGTTCTCCCCAAGTTCCTAAACAAGGTTATTCATCTGGACCGAGAGGAGAAGGGTGTTTGACCTCAGGGTACAGCCCCACCTCCTTCAGCTCCAGAAAAACGATTAAAATAATGTACATTTATCCAGTCCTTTAATAGAATCTGTTGATTCTGCTTCTATTTTTAATCTTTCACTTCTGTAACAGCAGCTTACCATGCCTTAACTCTTTCTTTTTTTAATGTTTCAAGTAGAGAAATGCCTTGCAGATAATTCCTGGGTCTACTCAGAGATACATTGGTTGGTGAATTAGAGAAGATGTATTGAAATACATTATACACAGCATTTCACGGTCTTTATGTACCTTGACAACAGGCACTAATGGTCTCTGGTTTAAGAATGTTTATGTAAACTGAGACTGTTACGATGACTTAGCTCTTCACTGTGTGTAATGTCAAGCGATTTCATCCTTCTGTCTGTTTCTCTCTCTCAAAAAAAGTGCAATTTATAGTACTTATGTGTCATCTCAGTCTAATACAAAGCTTAACTGATCATTCTCCAATTGTTTGAACACACAAAGCACTGTATATCAAGGGGAGTATTTGAAAACATTTCTTACTTTCTCTTGGTTGAGATTTTCTTCCATTTTCTTTCAATAAAACCCAGCCGTGCTCAGTCACTAGCCCATGCTGCCTTCCTCTAAGGTTTAGGGGGAGGGAGAAATAAAAAAAGTGGCACTCATTAGCTGACTTTCACTTGAAGTGTTAATCTCCACTGGTCATGTCTCGGCTCCTTGAGTCAAAGGAAGCATTTCCCCATCAGATTAATGAGGTCATTAGCCCAAGGCTTCAGGTGCCTTCATTTGGCTTTACAGGTTTACAGACTTTTCTCTGTTTTTTTATTCTCTTAGGGAAGGCAAAAGGGCTCCCCTAAATAGGATGGTTATTGAATAAATGAATAGTTACAATAAAAACAAAATACACAGTAGAGATTCAAGAACAAATATAGAGGAAATAACAAGATGCAACTATTTAAGAAAATTATTTCAGGTTCAAGCTTTAATACTTATGGTGAAGAGAACCAGGAGGTAAATTAAATACATTCAATTATCCAGGTTTTTTTATCATCACTTCTTGATTCCTTGGATTAAATCTTGCAGCCTCCTAAATACCTAATACCACAAGGAAAAGCATGGTCAACTGTTCTCCTCCTTTTTTTCCCCTACCCTCTTCCTCATCTTTCTTTCCTTTTTTCCCAGTAGAACAAAACTATTTCCTTTATAATCCACACCCTTGCAACTCTGAACGAGCTCCTTACCATTTTCTTTTTGTTCTTTTATTATTTGTTATTTTATTAAGCCCTAGCATTTCATTTGGTGTGCCTTTATTGACAAGCTCTAGCGTCTTCAGAATAGGAATAGGGTTTTTTTTCTGAATTTGTGAATGTCTACCTTCCTGGGAATCCCATCCTAGCTTCACTTTCAATGTTTATAATAAAGGTCACAATGACATTTATTAGTGAAATCATTGGAATAGAATTCTGCCGTTTTTCTGCTTCTATCATTTCTTTTCCTATTTCATGTTCTTCTCTGCTCCATCCCTCTGCAGGTGGAATGGCTGAAGAACGAGGAGCCCATAGACTCCAACCTGGATGAGAACATTGACACCAGAGCAGACCACAACCTCATCATTCGCCAGGCGCGTCTCTCTGACTCGGGAAACTACACCTGCATGGCTGCCAACATCGTTGCCAAGAGGAGGAGCATGTCTGCCACAGTCGTGGTCTATGGTCAGTGAGAACGTGATGCTTATGGAAAAACTGAGACGTGTGTGCTTTTATTGCTGGTACTTTATTTTTTTAGCAGGCAGCACGGTGGCTGAGCAGGAGGTTGTGATGCGCTCGGGCGCTGTTGCGCAGGGCTGAGGTCCTGCTGCCCTTAAAGCCCTCACAGTTAGGAGGGGTTGGTTTGAGATGGATTCCCAGAAGTTACGTCAATAATAACAATCCTTGCTCCAGATATTGAGAAGATCCAGCCATGTAAATAAGCCTTGCCTGTGTCCAGAGTCCCCAAAGCACGTGCCTGGGGAGGTACAGGACGGGCTGGGTTAACCAGAGCTGTGGGACCGTGGGTGTTCCAGCGAAGGACAAAAGAGCAGAATCATTCCTTTAGTGCCATCCTCTGTTGCTGTCATTATTACTGCAGGTAACATGTTACTGGTGGAGGCAGAGCCTTCCAGACCCACCCTTTTTAAAATAGAGAAGTCTTGTTTATAATTTAAGCAAAGAGTATTTTACAAGAATGGAGGTGCCTGCTTCCCCCCCACCCCAGGCTGATCAGCCACGGCTCTTCCTCCCGTATTACTCCGCCAAAACAAACATTTGTGTTCTCTGACACCGTGGCCTCTGTGTCGGTGTGTACTGCTGGGCAGCAATGCTCCCGCCTCAGCCTGGAACTTACCTGTGCAATGAGAAAGCAAAATTCTGCCTTGGAATGAAGCGATGGGAGCAGCTCCATGCTCCGGAGTCCCAGCTGCCCGAGCGCGGTGTTTGTGTCTTGCAGTGAACGGCGGGTGGTCGTCCTGGACCGAGTGGTCGAGCTGCAACGCGCGCTGCGGCCGGGGCTGGCAGAAGCGATCGCGGACCTGCACCAACCCCGCCCCGCTCAACGGAGGTGCCTTTTGCGAAGGGATGTCCGTGCAGAAAATCACCTGCACCTCCCTTTGCCCGGGTGAGACACGCAGTTTGCTGAGGAGTAGCCGCGGGTGACACGTGTGCGGGAGGGCTCCTTCAGTCGGAAGCGCCAGGCAGGCAACGGGGCTTTGAAGTGCCCACTGAGGTCAGAAAGGGAAATACTGCATCCTTGTGCAGCTCAGGGCCTCGTGTGGGGTCAGAGCAGGAGCCACGAGCACCTGCAGCCTGATCTGCCGGGTCTGTCAGTGCTTTAACTTGCACTGAAGCTGAAATAATAACAAAACACCAACTTGGTTCAGTGTGAGAAATCAGGTGAGTGGGTGGGGGTATAGGGAAAGGGGAGGTGACGTTAGTGACACCAGGAAAAGAAACACAGAAACATAAGCCGAGAACTTCACTAAAAAGTATTATTTAGCTTTCAAGTATATTAACCTCTTGAAATTGAGCTTATGCTCTACAAGAGAATGGTGTCACATCCCTGAACATTGTATGTTTCCTCAGTTGTTCACCCACAACCTCCCTCACCTGGTTTTGGAATTGGTGTTTCACAGAAGGTCAGCAGGGTTGTGTGTGCTCATGGGCACGGCATAACTGGTCTGGATTCTGGCAAATCTCTTTTCTGACTTTTAGGAGTTTTTCGATTGAATGTATCCTGAACTGGGGTTTAAAGAACTTAGTATTATTTATATATGTCTCTGTGTTCATCTGACTGTTCTTCAATCTGATTTATGCATGAAAACGAAAGGGAACTGTGGAAGCCCTTCTCATTTGGGAGAGGGTCAGAGACAGCTACAAATCAGTCAGCAAAGCAACATATTGATCCATTGTCTTGCTCAGGGCATTAGCCAGAAGTCTACAAGGCCAGCGATGCTCTTTCTGTAAATGTCAGCAGCATTTCTCTGGTAGGGTAATGTGCGGCCTCCCTACGTCAGCCTGTTTTAAGGTAGAATTTGTATGGAAACATTAGAAGCTAATAGCTAGGTGGCAAAGAAAACGTTTCCTCCCGCGGTTTTAATTGACTGTATTTGCAGAACGTTACGTGCTGGTGCTATTTAAAAACCTTCCACACTGCACAACTTGAGGTGGTACATTCTAATGCTGGATTTTAACTTCACGTCTGATAAAACTACGTTTATTTCTCCTGAGAATTATGCTTGTTTTACTTGCTGTGACCTAAGGAGATGAAACGAGCGTTCCGGGGGGGGGGGATCTCCTGACCGCCGGTGCGACACGCAGCGGTGACGTTTTTTTTCCTTCCTCCCCGTTCAGTGGATGGAAACTGGGAGGTGTGGAGCGAGTGGTCTGTGTGCAGCCCCGAGTGTGAGCACCTGCGAGTGCGGGAATGTATCGCGCCGCCTCCGAGAAACGGAGGGAAGTACTGCGAGGGCTTGAGCCAGGAGTCAGAGAACTGCACCGAAGGCCTTTGCATCCAGGGTGAGTCGCAGCGGGCACGGAACTGGATTTAGGGGGGGTGGCCTGAAAACGGGCTCTGTGACCCGGGGGTGTCGTGTAGCTCCCACACCCCCTGTCAGGAGAACTCTGCGGGCTGAAACTCTACTGAGAAAAACGAGATTGTTTCTAGAGGGCTGCCTAGGTCAAGTTTGAAATCCACAGTGCTTTCAAGTCGCTGGACTTGTGCAGCACATTCTTCACCTATTAATTATCAGATGATTCTAAAAATCCAAATAAAGGTTTTTTGTGATGTACAATATGACTACACCTGCTACATCGTGTTCCACAGAATGTACTACTTGGCCTTCTACATTTTCTTCTGAGTAATTTGGCAAAGCACCAACATGAATGCTCTTGGTGCAAGAGCTGTTTAAGGTCAAGGTTTACTCCATTTGTTGCCTTTAACACAGAAGTTAAATAAAGGCAAATTGTCTCCATGGTGAATTCACTGCGAAAGGATTTGCCCTTCATAAATGTCTGGAAAGCATCTGGCGTTTGGTAGTTGCTACTGTCAACAAACAACTAAGAGCCAAGAAGAGGAGCCCTGCAGCTGGAGAGTTGCAGAGCACCCGGGGCAGCTGCCCAGTCTCAGAACAAAGGGGACAGTCTCAGGTTCATTCCTACACTGTCGCTGTTCCCTGCCCACGGATGGTACCATCACCTCATCGCGTTCTAGCACCGAAATGGTGGCCATGGGAGCAGTCAGGAATGCTGGGGCTGAGAGATCTGAAGGGAAATAAAAGGTGGCCCGATCCAGGTCAGGAAAACCCTTGACAGCACTGTGAGGTGGTAACGGTTCCCCGTCCCTTCGTTTTGTGTAGTTCCCTGTCAGTCCTGTGCGTCATTTCCACACTGCGCTTATGCCTCAGAGGCAGCAGAGGAACAAATTCAGTCCTACACTTATTTTGGTAGTCTGGAAGGAGCACGTGGCCTTGGGAAGAGCACTGAGAGTCATGATGCACCTTTTATTTGATGGTGATGGCTTCATTCTGTGGGGAAGATCACCAAAACTCTGTGAGTCCTTGTAGCAGGGATGGTTTCAGGTACAGGGCCTCCGAGCACTGTTGTACCAACACTGAGGTATTGCATCATGTGGGTGTTTGCTGGTGGCTTCTCCAGCTGTCAATGCCCCTTCCTCAGCCCCTCTCCCCGGGGAGTTCACCGGACCCTGCGTGCAGGCTGTAGCGTCAGCGCCAGTCCTCGTGTCGCGGAGAGCAGAGGGCTGGGGCTGGCCTCGCCCGCTCTCTGTTGAGGGCTCTTGCTGACACCGCTGCTTCTGGGGGTGCGTTTTCAGGAGCTGTTCTTGGCTAAACCCTCTGCAGCTTTTTGTGCGAACAGAGGTTTCACATACTGCGAGGTGTTACTGCGCAGAGAGGAAAAGGGGCTCCGTGTCTGGAGTTCACAGACACGTTACCGTTTTTTTTTTTTTTTTTTTTTTTTTACATGTGCCCGTGTTCCTTAGAACAAGACTTGTTTTTCATAGTCAGAAATATAAAATCCTTCTTGTATAAAATTGTCGGGGTGAGCTCTGTACACCCCAGTGCATTCCTTCAGCGTTCCCTGCCGTTACTGCAAACGTGCTCCGTTAGTCACTGCTCTCTCCCCCCCTGCCCCCAGTTCGGGTGACCAGTGCTGGACTCGGAACAAGGCATCCAGGATCTAAACGGTGCAGCTTCAGCCAGACCCTTGTGTCCAAGTCCCTTCAGTGGAGAGAGGTGGGGGTGGGATGCCAGCTGCTCCAAACCCTTCCCGTGATCCCGGAGCGGGTGTGAGGCAGGGGAGGGGTTGGCTGCTTTCAGCACATACAAGTGTAGTAGTTTTGGCAGTGGCAGATAGAGGAGAGATTGCCCTCTGGAAGGTCCTGCCGAGAAACTTCACCAGGAGTTGAAAGCAAAAAACTTAAGACTGTAGGGAGCCAGTTGCCAGTTCACCTTCTTTCTCTGAAAACAAAGTATTAAAAAAAAAAAAAAAAAGGAAAGAAAGAAAAAAAAAAACCTTCCCACGACAGCCATATCACTGATTAGAGAGATGCATACGGTGCAGCCAGAGTATTTTTTTTACCACCAAATTATTTGACAGATGGGCTATTGGAATAGTTACAACATGGCAACTAACTTAATTTTAATAATTACCTGAAATTTTTATTACTATTTGTTGTTGTCTGTCATATACTTTGTATGAAAACAAGCTCTTTGGATTGGGTCCTCTCCCTCTGCTTTATGTTTGTACAGCCACTGGTGCAAAGAATATTATTATTAATGAACCCCTAACTTACCTGACTAATGGCCCTGCAGTAAAAAAAAAATAAATAAATATATATATATATATACCCCAACAACTTGAAATTAATTGAACTAGCGTAGGATTTCATCATTGCCTTTCCAGAAGAGTTTTAATTTTTCTCTGCCATGATTTAGAATCATTTATAGATGCAGTTTTGAGAGAATGTGACTATTTTGCACAAGCATGTGCAAACAGAAGCGAACGGTGTATGTCTGAAACCAAATGTCCAGGATGGCAGAAGTTTTCTCTGAGAAGCAAATCATTTTTCTACACATGGGACTTAAAGTGTTCTTAATAGACTTACAGTGTTCTTAATATGCAATATGTGAAGAACTTGCCTTCTTCAAAATAAAAAAAAAAAAAAAAAAGGATCATTATGGGTAAAAAGATACAAAAAGCATTTTTTAAAATATGAGTAAATTCTGTGCAGATTTAATCAACTTAGTTGTCAGCTGCGAATCACAAAGTTTGTGAAATATAACTTCAATGTTGAAAATGAACTGTCAAACTCATTTTGCAAAGTATAAGTGGCATAAGTAATAAAACCCAAATTTTATGATTGAAATGAAAAGGCATTTAAAATCTGAGCCTACTAGGGATGCGTATGTTGACATCAAAGCAACACTACTTAAAATTAACAAAATTAAATTCTCAGTTTATGCTGAGTATCAGGGGGGTGGGGGGAAACCTGCTGCTGGATTTTCCGTGCAGAAATCTCCGTGGGTAAAGAATTTCTGTTCCTCTTACAAGGTGAGATGGGAGTTAGGGGAACTGTGAACTAACACCACCACTCTAAAATTAATGCAGAGACGACTAAAATGGAAGATTTCTCTCTACCTAGTAGATCTCTCACCTAGTATTGGGATCAGAAGCTGATCTCCAGGTATTATGTGGCAAAAAAATTAATCTGCAGCGGAATCTGTTGTCAGAGTTGCCCTCGCCGTGGCGCTGGGTGCAGGAGGAGCCGGGGCCTGGCACACGCCAGCGCTGATCGGTGCTGGGGAGCGAGTCCAGCCCCGGCCCACACGGGTGGGTTTGGGTGAGCTGGTGTGTCCCCGCTGTCCCACACGGGTGGGTTTGGGTGAGCTGGTGTGTCCCCGCTGTCCCACACGGGTGGGTTTGGGGTGAGCTGGTGTGTCCCCGCTGTCCCACACAGGTGGGTTTGGGTGAGCTGGTGTGTCCCTGCTGTCCCACAGGGTGGGTTTGGGGTGAGCTGGTGTGACCCTGCTGTCCCACAGGGTGGGTTTGGGGTGAGCTGGTGTGACCCTGCTGTCCCTTCTGCGGGGAGCACGGGCTGGCTCTGACCTCCCCCACACCCCAGTGCTGAGTGTCCCTCGTTCCTTCTGTCTCGGTGGTACTCTTGCTCCTTTATGGGTCATGCTCTATGTATGTACTTGTGTCAGATTATTTTTAGGACAGTAATTGCTTTCCCAGCTAATAGGAATTGATGCAATTACCCTATTTTTTAAAGATCTTTTTCCCCTGTTCATCTTCCAATACGTGCCTTTTCTGCTTTGCTTTTCATCCCGCAGGGAATTGTGAAGGAAATGCAGTACTGTGCTACAGAAAACTAATCTCTTCGAGGTTATTTATCAGGCACAACTTGTTAACTTTGTTCCTTTCGTGAGGCAAAAATAGAAATGAAACATTTCTTTGGTTAACAAATAAGAACTCAAATGAAAGTAAGGGGGAGAACATGCCACGAAAGCACAGACCTGATTCCAAACTGACAGAAAAAATACAAATCTGTAGCCTGAATTTCCAAATTTGGAGTCAGTGAATGAAATGGGGATAAACCAGGGTCTACTCTCTGTTTCTTACGGAGTCCCTGACAGGAGCATTGGGAATACCACGGGGATGACACCTTCATCCACAGGAACATCCTCTTCCTCACTTGGGTTTCTCATTTCTGGATTGATCCAGGATAGTCCAGTCCCTCACTGAGGAGGAACTGAAGGTGCTTTTCTTTCAGGGTGTTTCTTCCAGGATTTGTAACAGCTGAATAGATACAAACTGATATGCAGAAGAAAGGTAGAATTAATTTTGGGTTTGATATGTGTGAAAGATTGATTGCCAGGCCGGCCCGGTTGGGAGAGGAACAGAGCTTGCCTCCATCTGAATGCAGAGGTCACTTTCCCTCAAGATGGTCCAAACAAATTACTGGTTTCTTGCAGTTTTCTTTTGTTGTTTACTCCCTAGCAGCATTCTTGACAGTATACTTTTCCATGGTGGATTTCTTGCTGTCTTGCAGAGGTGAAAGCTTTTTCTTGGCTTACAGAAAGAGAGGGTTTGTAGGGTTTTTCTGTTTACTTTTATCTATCTACTTTAAAGTTATTTTTTTTACAACTTCAAAAGCTATTGATTTCTTTTCCCAGTGCCCAAAAAAAGAGAAACAAACAAGCAGGCCATAAGCAGATGAACTACAAACATGTTTTTACTAATGCATCATAAATCACAAATAATTTTGTTTTCCATTTTTCAACCAACCGTGATACTGAATATTGCCAGGAGGCTTCTGGATCGAGCAATCTCACCAGTTTGTGGCAAACTCGTTTCAATTCCATTGCGGATTTCTGTAGCTAGCACTGTGTCAGCAGCAGGGAGCCGTTTCCATCGCAGAGCTCCAGTCTGACACTATTCATTTGGTGTTTACGTCTGTCATCTCCTAGCAAAAATAAAAACAACTTAAAGAAGGAAAGAAACCAACACACCCAGCTTTTTGGCAAAGCCAAAGCCCAAGAATCTTTTGGGTTAAGTATTATTAAACTGACCGTTTTCACAAATAGTAAAAATAATAGCAGGTGCCTCATGGTCCATTGTCACAGAGCAAAACCTCTCGTCCCCCGAGGTGGTTTCTGTCCCCACGGCTGCACCCCGGGCTCCGTCGCCAACGCACTCACAGTGACCCTGCGGCGAACCCACCCCCAGAGGTGGCCGATGCCGGGTCCTTCGTTCAGGAAGAAATCCAAACAATAAATCGGTGCACAGCTCAGGCAGTCACCACGCGAAGTGCCCACAGCATGGATAGAGCCTTGCCTGCTTGAGGACTTCTGTCCCGCCTTAGATCAGTCTCATTGCGCTGGACTGCTCGCCCGCGGCACCTCTCGTGGCGAGGAGTAAGCAATCGGTGTGTTCTGGTGTTTCTGCACAGAACCTCCCAAGAAAAGGTACAGGGAAAGGCGCCTAAGTCAGGCGGGGTGCCCAGGAAGCTGGGGGGCTGTACTGAGCTGTGCAGGGGGGCAGCCTCCAGCCAGCCCTGGCCCCCGAGGCGGTGAGCGGGGTCCTGGGGCCGCGGGCGCATCTCCCGCGGCCTGTTGCGCTGGGACTGGCCGGCCCGGGGGGTCGCTGGGTGCCAGGGCACCTCCAGAGAGTGGTGTGGGTGCTGTGCCAGCCCCAGCCCCGTCCCGTGCTGCAGGTCCTGGGCTGTGCGGGGACGGGCGCTCGGTCCGAGGGAGAGCGCGGAGACGCGACTGAGTGAGCCTGCCCTGTACCGGCCCGTGGGTGGTGGGACGCTGCTTCTGTCTGTCCTCTATAGACACGTGTAGATGTCATACCGGTGTATATTTAGAAACATCAATGTGACTATGTTGTACAATTTTATATTTTATAAATTACTTTTTCAAACGTCCATCGCTAACCTTTCCATATAACAAACACACAAAAAATAATCAGTTCTTAACCAACTTGCTTTGCAAGCGATCCGCTTCAAAGTGTCCAACTTCCTCATTGCTGAGATGTAGAATATTCTAAATAAAAGCATCCAATAGAGCTAACAAACACTTGAATTAACCAAGTGAGAAATTACTGCAAAGAAACATCTTGAAAGAGATTTAGGGAAAAAAAAAAAAAAAAAAAAAAAAAAAAAAAAGAGAAAAATATGGACAGCATAAAATATTCATACTGTCAGCAAACAAGCAGAAAATGTTTCATTTATAGAGCTAGACAGAAGCGATATAGGAAATAGATATGCTCCATGTAAATTTATTAAGTGCAACTTTCTCTCTCTCTCTCTCTCTCAGATAAAAAACCTCTTCATGAAATAAAATCCCAAAGTAAGTTATTTTTTTTTTCTCTTGTAAATATGATTTTTCTCATCTTCTCTGCCATTCTGTTTTATTTGTTTAGGAGCTAAATAAAACTGAAGGTTATATGAAAGGCTTTCACATCTCCTGAAAGCATCTTCTTAGCAACTTTGTGATCATAGATTTTAGACTAAAAATCGAAAAGCGACCGTTCTTTAGTAATTTGTGTCTGACTGGGAGCGCTTTCTGCAGGCATGCTTATCTGAAAATTGATCTCTTGAGGACTTGTAATTAGAAAAAAAAAAGGAATTAATACAGGAGTTTAGCTTTCTTGGGTCAAATCTGGTTCCGCTGCTGGCTCTGTCTGATCTCGTGCAGCTCCCGTCGGCCTTCATTTATCAACTGGTAAAGGGTGTTTATGTGCTTTACACTGTAAAGAGGATGTAGATGTCATTTATATACTGCTTGGGGAGGCTTCTACCCTGCACTCTGCCTTCCTTAGTCTTAGGCTGATTTCAGTGGAATTCTAGTTTAGAGGAACACATTTGGAGTGAATTGCCTAACTGAAAGATTTTGTTAAGGAAAAGAAAAAAGACAATTTCATCAAAGCCACAATTTCCGTGAGGCCTGTCTGCTTTAAAGCAGACACGTTGCTGCTTCTTTCATAGACCATACACAAAATTTTGAGAATTTCTGAGGGCTTCATTTTCAACAAAAAATTGTCTTTGAATTTTGACAGATTCATAAAACACATTTTTGGCTTAATTCATTTGAAGGATTTAAAATAAGAATCCACCTGTACTGAGAAGTAACACGTGGAATGGCTTAGATCTTCTTTGAAGACAGATTCTTCTATTATATGTTATAAAATAATGTAGGTTTTAAGTCTGGACATTCCTCCAGGATATAGAGGCTTAGGGTGATCAGATGATTTGAAATTTTATGGAACTTGGGCCCCAAAACATGAGGGAGACATTTGGAAATCCTGACCTGAGCTGTATCTCCTTGGAGCTCATGTGCTGGAGACTGATGTGTCAAAGCACGCTGCAGAAAAATTTCTTGCTGGCTTGAACGAAGCCTGTTTGGTTCTCAGGTCCCAGAGTACTCCTCAGTCTGATAAACCAAGAGTTTTAGAATGATCTGGTCAAGTCCAAATCCATGTAATCCACGGACAACGTTATAACTATTTATAAACGAACGTAACTAAATGGCAGCAAAAATGTGATACAAAAAAAATAGTCATTATAGAGGAGCACAGTTACTGTCCAAGATGGCCACAGCCACGGTGAGTGAAGGTGTTTGGCTGTTGAAAAGCTGTTTTGAACATGGTGTAGGGTGCACGACCCACCCGGCTTCACCAGGAAACATTTCTGAAGGGGCAGAAACCTTGCACTGAGAATATTTCTCCTTCACGTTTCCAGTTCTCAAGTATTTCTAGGAATACCCAAAATCAACTTTGGATAGCTCAGAAACGTGCTGTGGTTGCCTTGGCTGCTTAAGGGGTTCTAATTTTGTCGTCTTGTTGTCTCACCGGACTCATCTCCTAATTGGTCACGTAGAGCTGGTCTGTGTCATAATGCAGCTCAGGCAGTCGGTACGTTTCTGCTCATGTACCTGTGCAGTTCCCATTTAATTAGGGAATCTGGAAAGAACATCAGTCAAATCGCTTTATTTTCTGATTTATTAAAAAAATAGCTTTAATAGAATTGATTTTAGCATAGAAGATACTTGGGAGAATTAAAGGGTTTCTTTATAGCTGTGGGGTTAGAAACACATAATACAGCTTGTTGCTGTTCAGCCAAACAGGAACTTAGTTTAAGACTGCATGGATCATCACTGATGCAAAATCAAAGTCAATTATGAAGATAATTGAGAAACAACCTGTTCTACTAAATAACCTCTTCCATGGTTCTTGATCCCTGTTCTCGAAGACTGGCTCTACGAAGAAACAGACTGCGGGTTGCTAAGGGGTACCAAAGTGAGTGACAGAAAACTGGGGGCGGGTGGGGAGCAGGAAAAATCTTCCCAATCTCTTGGCAAACGAATGGGAGATGGGGGGAGATGTGCACCCCACACAGCTCCTGGAAAGCACTTATTGTAAATGAGATAATTTAATCAATTATGTTTCTAATGTACTAAACCAAATGTTTCATTTTCTGCTCCTGCACATCTTAAATTATCTTCAGGTGCTTTATGAAACTTAATCATAGTTAATAGAAACTTCATTACCATCAAATGTGCTTTCAATAAATGTTGTGTAACAGTGTCAGGAGGTGAAGTATAGGCGACAATTACCACAATCGTGCATCCTGCAACTGGAATGTATCAAACCCGGAGTGCGCTACCAGAGCCCCTGCCTCCTCTAGGCTGGGAGGATGCAGTTCATTAATTAGTAATTGGTTGACTAGAAATGTTTTTCTTTTTTAGTTTGTTTGTTTCTCACTTTGTTCCCTTCTGGGAAAAAATAAAAGAAGAAAATTACCGTGTTGCCCAAATTTGCCATGCTTTTTTCTTTTAGTCTCTCATGAAAGGAGTTACCCGTAAGAAAGGCAGAAAAGGGAAGAGATTAAAATTACTTTAAAAAAACACAATATTTGTTTAAAAAAAAAAAAAAAAAAAAAAAAAAAAACACCAAAAAACTAACATCCTAAATCAATTTAAAAGTTCCTTTTCTTAAGCAGGCCTATTCCATTGGAACAATTCAAAGGAACACCACATCCCTCTTGTTTTACTCTCTTAAGATAAAGCTATTTACAGCTCTACCAAGCTCTGAGAGGGGCTGTCCTTTTCCTCTGAACTCGGTGTGGTTTAGTTACTTGGGGTTTGTGGGTGAGGTTTTTGCCTTGCAATGAGTCGTTCTGGGAAGACCTGAATGACTCTTCCAGGTCTTCTATGAAAGAGAACAACGAGCATTTTATTAGAGATAAGGAAATCCAGAAAGAATAACTCTTGAGAGTTTTTAATCATAAAAGATACAGAAAAGTGTCAAATTCAAGTTTTAAGGATACTTATAAACATTCACTGGAAACAAAATCCTCTCTCCAGAAAAATTTTGCTTGAGACGAACTGTTCTCATTTTTTAACATTCTGTATTCTTGCTCTCATCTTTAACCTCTGTCCAACGATCTTGTGCAGTTATAAAAGACTTAAATTATCTGACATCTGAATTGATTGAACAGAAAGAGCTAAACTATTTAAGTAGCTTTAGAGTATAAATTACAATCGCTCACGAGTGAGAACTTGAGGTGTGGTTTAGATTCTGGTTTTGATGGTGAAAGATCAAATCCTGCATTTGCTACCTGTTGCCATTATGGTGGCAGTAATTTTTTACAGATGGGTTATTTCTGCATGTTTCAGACTTTATAATTTATTATCCCAGAAGGTAGAAGAGGTAACTCAAATTTTCAGCACTCTTCTGTTTTAAAGGAGTGATCGAAATGGGGGACATAAAGGAGCTTTATGTGCGATACCTACCAGCTCACTGTGGTTCTCTGGAAAGGCAAAGAACCCACTTGCTGCCAGGTTTCTTCCACCACCGGAGATATTTAGCATTCCCTCTCTTGGCTAATTCCTTGCGCTAATTAAACACCAAAATTAAGTCAACAGTAGAGTTTCACAATTAATTCCCTGTTACAACAAAATAGCTCAGTAGTCGAAAATTGGAAGAAATAGAAATGTAATTAATTCCTGTACTCTTCTTTCTGCACCTGCTACGAGAGGATAAAATAGAGGCAAACCCCGACGTGATGGAGGCGCTGGGTGAGGGTTGGGGCTCTCTTGGGTTGACGGGGGAGATGTCCAGAGTCTGCCTTTGTGACTGTCTGCCTGCATTTACTTTTTCCATCTGGTGTAAGGATATGGGGCATCTCCTGCTGTTAGTCCCAGACATTCACATTGGCAGCTCACTCTCTGAAATTCTGAACTTTGAACTGAAAGTGCTCAAAATTCTCTTGACGACGTTATTCAGGGGGGCATCTCATGGAAAAATGGGGGGAAAAAAGGCCTCAGGAAAAATCCTTTTCTCTAGTAATTTATTTAGTAGAACTGCGTGGCAACTGTAGTGCTGTAAGAAGCTGGGTAGCAGTTTCAAGTTCATTTAGTTGTGATTACTTGTGACGTGCCACTTCTGAAAGCTGATACTTGCATGGAAATTTTGTGATTTTTTTGTTTTTCTTCTCCTCAGCGAGTTCTAAATGTGTTAAAGCCAGAAACCTTTTTCACTATGAGGTTATTTGAAAATTCAGCAGAATTTTTGCAGAAGTGTTTTCTGGCTAATTAGCAGTCCTAGTAAAACTGATTTCAAAACATTGATTTGGGGTTGAACGGGATGTTGGAATCTTGTCTGGGGTTGACTGGGAACAGTTTGAGAACGGGGGGTGTTTCCTATTAAGGATGTTTGAATCCGTTTATTTTACTCGTGATTCAACTGCCCAGCTGAGGAGCCCGTTGCATGGCCCCACTCACCGACCCCCCGGGTGCTCCAGCCCGTTGGGGAGCGGGTGGCTCCGGGCACCTGGTGGCACCTTCCCAGGTGTCCCCTGCTCCCGGGGTAGCTCTCAGGCTGCACTGACAGGGGACACTGCCGAGCCACGGAAACTGCCTTTGCTCTGCTGCCCATAGGTTCTCATTTCCTTCATCTCAGTGGTTGGAAGTTTCATGTTCATTTTAAAAATTCAGCTCCAACAGTTTTCTGATTTTCTGCAGGAAAACACATGCACAACAGGAGCCTCCTCCCAAATACTAATTAAGTAATTACAGTAATTGGCCATTTATTAAATGCTGAATTTAACTTCCTACCCTATTTCTGTACATTTATTTACTGGTACTGAATAGCCTGGATTTCCTAGTTATTTTGTCACTGTCATTTGTTATGAGTAAGTGCACTCTCTGTACCGAGGGCTTCTCACTTGACAGCAGAAGCACCGCACAGTAGGATCACAGATGATGTAGAGGGTGAATTCATGATTCTCTCTTCTCTAAACTGGAGTTTGGCATTAAGGGAACTATCTAAGGACCCACTAAGTGTACTTGCCAAGTAATTTAATTTCATGGTACGTGGTCCCAGATCCCAGAAGATGTAGAATAGCGGGACTGGATAATTCAATTACATAATATTGCAGGTTTCATTTGGATTTGTTCTTTCAAAGCAGCAAATTCTTTTTTCTCCACTGTAAAAGTTTGAAGTCTTAAAAAACTTGGTTCTAAGCTTAGTGCATGGGTGTGATCATGGGGAAGGTTCAGTTTCCAACCTGTTTTTGAAGACTGAAGGTGCTTGCAGGACTCCGAGGAGATATGTGGGATCTCCTCGGCCGCGCTGAGCTGTGGGAGCACCGACTGTTCCCTCTTAGACTAAAGCTCATGCAGGAAATAGAGAGGGGGAAGGGAAAGCTTCACTAAGATTTTTCAGAGGATTCACAGCCTCCAGGATTAGCTCCAGAATTCAAACCTAAAACTTCCACGTCCTTGGAAGCTAGCAGTAGATGAGAGTCCTGCTGGGAGCTCGAGCAGCCCTCCCGAGCTGTGGTTGTTCCGGGCCCTGCCTTTAAGGTTGTATTACCACACCGTCATGGTCCCCACTGGGCTGGAATGGGGAGCTGTGGTGGCCCCCAGCGAGGAGCCCAGGCTGGCAGCTGGTGCTGGTGAGGGGCCCCTTGGACGGGGCTTTGGGCAACCTGGGCTAGTTGGAGGTGTCCCTGCCCGGGGCAGGGGGGTGGGCCTGGGCGGGCTTTAAGGCCCCTTCCAACCCAAACCCATCTGGGATTCGATGGAATTTGCTCCGGCTGTTTTCCAGGATGGTGGTTTCCAGCGTTCCGCTGGGCTCCGCTGCGCGGCTCCACGTCCACGTGTCTGAGGCCTCGCGCTCTGCCCTTCGCTCACAGCCCCAGCACACTCACAACGTTCTCGGGAGCGTCGCTGACTTGGCAGCTGGTTTTTCTCCTTTCAGATATCGAGACTGCCAGTGACATCGCCCTCTACTCCGGCCTGGGAGCAGCAGTCATTGCTGTGGCTGTGCTGGTGGTTGGCGTCACCCTGTACAGACGGAGTCAGAGTGAGTACGGCGTGGATGTGATTGATTCATCTGCACTGACAGGAGGCTTCCAGACATTTAATTTTAAAACAGTCAGACAAGGTTAGTGGTGTGATTTCATTTTCTTCTCTCCAGAGCTCCTACTGCAAAGAGATGCTGAGCTCGTGTTGAGGGACTGGCTGTGGGAGGGCACTCGGCTCCGCTGAGAGCTGAACGCTGCAGCGCCGGGAGCAGGGGCTGGTGGTCGGAACCGTCTCTGCTGCTGCTCTGTGCTGGCAACTTGGACGAGTGCATCATCTTCCTTGACACTCTCAGTGCTCCAGAAATACTGTCACTGGCTTCTACACTGACATTGGTGACTTAGAAAAAGCCCAAACAAACCCAAACAAATAAACCAAATCGAAACAAACCCAGAAAGCACATCTGTAGATCCTGTTCACTTACAGATCTTCTATTTTGTTTACTCCACTAAAAGTGTTTAGTTTTTTACTGTTAGGTAATTTGAGAAACTCAACTTATTTTTATAAGCTGCTGTTAGCATGCAGACATCCACATTCTGAGGTCTGTGGGAAATACATGTGTGTAAACATGTATTGATTTCACCAAAACAAACAAAACCCAAAAAACCTTTAGAAAGCCACCAGTACAGTAAAATATGGAAGAAATGTTTATTTTCACTGAAAGCAGCACTCAGATGTTTCCTGGAATATTATTTCCTTCGGACAGAAAGGTGGGGAGGAATACAAATGGTGATTACTTTAACATAACCGTTTTCTTTAACTCTGTGCTGACATTCAGTAGGAGACCTGCCTGACTGTGGGTGGGTGGTTGTGTTGGTGGGGTGTTGAAGTGTCCCCATCTCTCTTCTTTCTTCGGAAGAGTGAAATATGTTGCAGTTTGGTTGGTTTGGTTGTCTTTTTTTTTTTTTTTTTTTTTTTTTTTTTTTTTTTTTTTTTTTTTTTTTGGGGGGGGGGTGTTGTTTTTACAGTTAGTTTATTTTCTGGGAGACATTCCTCACCAAGCATAAATTGCAAGAAATTGGAAGAAGGCCTTGGTAGACAAGGATGTTTGAAGGACGTTTACTCAGTCATCCAAGCCTTTAATTAGAGTCATGTAATTCTCAATGACTGTCTCAAATAGTAACTTGTTCAGTTTGCCATGAAAGTCTTGTTTTGAGTCTGGGGAATTGTCTGTTTGACTTAATGTTTCAAAAACATTAGTTCTGGATGCTCTGAAAATATCTGAGCACGCCAATTTCTTTTATGCCAGGATGCTATTAGTTCAGTTTCAGTTACTCTGGGTTCTCTGTCTGTGGGTTTTTAAAATAAGAACATTTGTAAACTAAACAATTCAGCTGAAAAAAAGGCCAATTCTCTGTTCAGTTTGCTGAGAAAAGGGAGCACAATACTGACATATGGACAACAGATCAGCGTGATCCAGATTTTATTCTTTGAAGAAATGCATTTATAATGCTAGCAACCCAACCTTCAGTCCCTGGAAGTGATCAAATTTTCAAAGCTGCAATACAGATAATTTCTAGAAAATTACTTACATTGGAAAACTTCTCTTTCCTAAAAACCAACCAAACAAAAGAACCCCCCAAAAAGACCAAACCAGCTAAAGGATTCAGGCCCTACATCTATCCGTTCCTTCTCTTTTTCTCAATGTTTTCTGAGCTAAAATGTTCCTAAATGAATGACTGTGGTATTTTTCCCTGTATCGTTACTCTTATCCCACTTAGTTTCAACCCAGTTTCCCTCAGGCATGAAGCCAGCATTTTGTGCTGCTCATGGAAAAGGTCTGCAGGAAGATTTGTTTTCACCCATTCGGTTTTAATGTTTAGGGAAAACAAAAACAAAACAAACCAGAAAAATGGTCTATGCAAAAACCTGATCCAGAATGAAAAGGAAGTTCCTTCTTGGATTCACTCACTCTGGAGTTGCCTCAAGTGCGGAAAACATAGTGGCCAAGCGCCTGTTAGATTATTGCATCATTTCATCTGTTTTTTAACATTACTTTGTGTGATTTTGATCTCTGAGAGTATCAGGGAGGAAGAGTGGGTCACGAAGGAAATGACGGAGAGTTGAGGAAGAGATTTCTGATTCTCAGTGCAGCGAGTGACTCCCTGATGTGCTTCGTTCTGGCAGGCAACTCCCTGCTCTTGAACTCCTCCATGCAGCCGGACCTGACGGTGAGCAGGACGTACAGTGGCCCCATCTGCCTCCAGGACCCCCTGGACAAGGAGCTGATGACGGAGTCCTCGCTGTTCAACCCGCTGTCAGACATCAAAGTCAAAGTGCAGAGTTCCTTCATGGTGTCCTTAGGGGTGACGGAGAGGGCCGAGTACCACGGGAAGGCACATTCTGGAACTTTTCCTCACGGCAATAACAGATCTTTTGGTACAATACAGGCTAGAAACAAGGCTACGTACATTCAGAACCTGTCTTCTATTTCAACAAGTGAGCTGAAGACAACTGCCATCTTTGGACACCTGGGTGGCCGTTTAGTGGTTCCAAACACAGGTGGGTAGATCCTTTCTCATTAAAAGATCTATAATAATAATAATTCTAGATTAAGCTTATTTTGCCTGATACAGTGTTCTATAACCGAGATTAAAACAAAAGAAGTAGGGGCTTCCTTAATGCAAATTTTGGGAAGTAGAGTGTGTTGCCCCACAGGAGATGTCTGATCAGAAGAAAGCTTGGGCTGAGGGTAAAGAGGCATTGTGCCCGTTTGAACTGTTATAAATTCCTGCCGCTTGGTGTCTTCAGTAGCTAAGTCTTATTAATCAGTGCCGTTACGTACTTGGATCCTGATCCAAAAGGAGGGCTCCCCGGGAAGGGGGTCGGCACTGCCTCAGCATCCAGATCCTGGGGTCACATTCAAAGCGGAATCTACGCCAGCGACGTCCGGCTGCGGTAACGTGTCAGACTTGGTGATGATACCGGAGTCTGCAGCACGTCAGGAGCGGGCGTCCGCTCGCAGAGAAGACTCTAGCACAGCTTTTCTTAGCAGTTACTCCAGGTTTTCTGGTTTTCTCTTTCTTTTAGCTCAAGAGCTTGACAGATTCCCATCGTGGGGCACTTCAGAGTCAGCTGGCATTTTGAGAACTGGGCTGCGCACTGAAACTTCGCAGCAGAGATGCTCAGTTTGTGTTGATTAAGAAGTAGAGTTTGTTTGGTGACTTCTGAGTTTTGTGGGATGTGTTTTAGACTTAAGAAACTGTTAATTTAGCTGAAAACGTACTGCACCAAATTAGAAGCAAATAAAGGATGTTAAAATCACAGTCCGGCAGTATGTTGCAGTGCATCATTACGCTCATATCGTGATGAATAAAACTCCTTATGTTGGATGTTTGTTTTTTCAAAATGGCAACGGTGGCAGGAACAGCCAGATACCGCTGCTAGCTACGAGGGCATCTTTCAAACTCTGGTGATCTTTTTTTCACTTTAAATTCAATTTTGTTTTCATTTGGCTAGTGTGTCCAGGCTTATCTCTTGGTATCTAGTTGAACTGAATGATTTAGAGCTTTATCCTTCATGTTTCATAAAATGGATACTTTAAAGGTTACCATAAAAAATGTGGTCTGTATTTAGAGAAGATTGATAACTGTGTAGAATTCAGGGATACGGTATTTAGTGTGCGATCATGCGCAACGCAGGGAATGTATTCATTTCTCAGAGATTGTTTTTGTGTTCAGGAATGAATATTACAAAGGCAGAGGCACTAAGTCAGTGAAGTCATAAATTAAGAAGTCCCTCATACTATATATTTAGCTGCTTTATATAATGATAGTCCCATCAATTAGATTATTTAAATACCAATTTGGTCCACTTGCAATTTATGTACTTCTTCCTGCTATTTATGTAAGATCAAATTTGCTAGCCAATTGTAAATTATAGTGCAGTCATGTCACTGCTGAGCTGAGGTTGCGCATTGTGTGACATCTGTGAAGTAAAATACAGTCCCCCTGCACTGAGTGTGCTGTACAACAGTTTACTTCCACTGGTACCCGCTGGAAAGCATCTTTGTTAACTTCTGATTTATAGCAGGGGCGTAAAAGGAAAATCCTGTCACTTGGATTCACTAGTTATTACGTGCAGGAACAGAAAGGTACGGTGATTTCCATGCAAATTGAGATTGATTTGGTTTAGGAGGTCTCTCCATTATGAGATTCCTGGTGATCCTAGAATGATCTGATTGGATTTCAAAGTTAGAAAGGGGCAAAGAAGCTTCAAGAAAAGTTTCTGTGAGTGGTGAAGCAGACAAGTCTGCCGGTACTCAAGGATGAATAGAAGCCTTGAGTCACATCTAGACTGTGAATCCAGTGTCAGTGACACAAAACAAGGGGAAGTCAACTATTCAAGAGCTCTGTTGGAGCAAGAAGTTTTTAGGCATATGTCTATATAATTCCAGGCTCTAAGGCAGTTAAATAACTATGTGGATCATATTAATAATGTGTTTTCCCTTCATCTGATAAGGCTGTGGACAGATGCACTATTTCAGAGGTGTCCTGCAGCTCTAGTGGACGGTCTCTTGAGGTCTTGTGCATCAGAGGCCCGTCGTGCACGGGTCTGTACGGCCAGTGCCTTCCCCAAAGGCAAGTTCTGCCTTTGCTCTTTTGCAGGAGTCAGTTTGTTGATACCACATGGAGCTATTCCTGAGGAGACTTCATGGGAAATCTATCTCGCCATCACTCAGAGGGAGTCCAGGTAAGAAGTACATACCCCCCCCCCCACGCACACATCCGTAATCTGTGGAACTGTCTCATTTAATGGATTTGGGAACACTGTCTGAGGGAATGGAACGTGCAAGAGTCACTCCTCCTGCCCTGTTGGTGGTGTGACCACGTGGTTGTGATGAGCTGCATCGGTAACGACAGCCGAAACGACCTTTGTGCGACGCTTCCCTGAAACCCCACGGACCGACTGCAGATGCTGTGCAGGGGTGGGGTGGGTACCTCAGGCAGGTGGGCGTCTGATGCGTGCTGAACTCTGAGTCAAGGATTTTAGCATTCTCGATCTGCAGCCTTATGTCACGCCCGTCTACGGGTGCTTTCAGTAGTTACTCGTTACAGAGCCTTTGGGTCTCAGACTCTCCTGACGTGCGGGCAGCAGGTTCAGTTCCACTGTCCGGGTCATCAGTTTGAATGACCCGACGGCTTGTAGGTACTGAGCTGTTGTCACTTCATGACAGATGTTGGGTAGCCTGGGTGATGCAAGTGAATGCTCTGGACCATTTCTTAATTTTATTTTTTTTTTGTAAATGATAAAATCTGTTCCCCAGCTGGATTTGCCAGCAGCAGCTGATGAACAGTAGAAATGAAACTGCACTTTGGCCCTTGGGGGGGGGGTTCAGCATTTCAGCTGGTGGGACAGGAAGGTGCCGTTTGAAATACTGGTGGGTTTACATAAATAAGACAAGTTAGTTCTCTGAGGTTCTCAAGGTTTCAGCTCTGTCATACTTATTTCAAAGACAAGAAGGGAAAAAAAGGAATCAAATGGAAGATACGGTTTGGCAAATACAGGCCATTGGTTTGGGGGTTTTTTTATATCGGTGCATCACATATGTAACAAATGTCTGTCATACAAAGGAAACCTACCTCATTTCAGGAGTCTGATCTCAAGTTACCGCCTAGACACTGAGCAATACTTCAGATACCTCTCAAATTACTACACCTTTTCGTGTTATTAGTGACTAGTTGTGCTACTGCCAGCGTCAAACCTCCACCTATCGTTGTAAATACTTGTTCCGGTTCCTCTCCCCATGCAAGTGTTTGAGTTCAAACAACACATGAGGAACTCCCCTATCAGTTTTCTGCCTGTTTTCCATGAATTCGTGTCCTTTTGCAGGTCAAATACAGGTAACTATGCCCCATCTCTCAGCTTCTCAGTGAGGTGTTACTCAGGAGAGCCTGTTACACCCATCCTGCCTTTATACTGTGCTCAGGTATTTTCCTTCCCCCCGGCCCCCTGGGTAAGGAACCTTGATGTTACCCATAAAAGATTAAGTGTCAGCAAACAGAATTTTTGAAAATCTTGTGCTCAGCCTTCGACTTCTGCCAGTATGTATCACTTAAGGCTTTGTTTGCATTGCTGCTAAGTACACTTCACCTTCTTCACTTGCTGTTTACAATGGGTTTTCTTTATTTTGTGACTGTCAGATCTGGGTAGGGTCAGTCTAGAGCCTGGATGAGACCTCTCAGGAATGTGCTCATATTGCCGACAGCAGAACCAGCGGTTCACATCTTTTTTAGAGCCCTGTTCCCCTTGGCATCCCTTTCCCAAGCTAGATAGAGCTCTGCTGCTGCAGGTAGGCCTCTAAGGCTGAACCAAATCACGCACCTCCTGCTGTCACTAAAGTTCTGTAACGATTGTTTTAAAGAAAAAAAATCCCCGAAGCCAGAGTCTTTACCCATTTAAGCCTAGAGGAACACCTAGGTGCCTGATGTCAGCTTCTAAGGTAGTAAGGTGTTCTGTGTCCGTACGCTGGCACGTGCTGCTCTGCCACAGCTCTCAACAACCGCCTTTCAGCAGGGGACCAGGGCAGCTCTCCACTGCCCTTCTCCGGAGGATAAGTGGCTGCTGAATCTTTTGAGATGGTCAGACAGAAAGTGACAGGAATAATCAAATTTTGTTGAATTGAAATACGCTCCTGAAAAGCACTCTGCGGTCCCCCTTTTTTGAGCTGTTGCCAGAAGTCAGCTGTGGCGTCTTGTCTGCATCTCGGCGAGCACAAGACCGTGTCTTCAGTCACCTAAGAGCGTCCGCGGTATGCCGAGCTGGCTGAGATCTGGGATGTGCATGTTCTGTAACGGAGCTCGTTAATTCTGTAATGCAGCTTTGTTCCACTGAGGCTTTGCAGTTACATTTTCTGACCTTTTTTTTTTCCTTGCTCTAATCTGAACTTCTCCTGAATTCATTTCTTCTGGTTTAGATGTTGAGTCCTGCAGCTGCTTCTAATTCTGCAAATTGTCGTTCAGTAACTGCACTGACAGAATTTATTGGTTCTACCTTTACATTCAGTCTTACAAGTTGCAGTGAGGTGCTTCAAACAATATTAAAAAAAAAAAATGTTTTAAAATAACTTTCCTACCCTTCTCAAACTACCCTTTCATAATTTACAGTCCAGACAGAGCTAAGTGAATAATCCGCAGTGTATACTTCAGTTGATTAATTTAAGGACAATTTCAGGAGACATCTGTCCCAGGTGAAGAGCAGTTCACTGATTAAGCCTGACTTTGAGTGCTTGTGAGAGGGGCAGTTTTTAGCAGTAATCAAAGGCAGGTTTGTACAGCCAGAGATAGGAGAGTTGGGTTTAGTTCTATACAGCAGTTATTTCTCTTATCTCCCTCACCTTAAATATACGTTCAGCTAAAAGCTGTGAAAAATTGGTGAGTGTATCTGAGGAGAAGTAAATAACTGCATATACAGTAAATATTCGCTTACAATAACTTACAGCGAAATAATTGCTGGAATTTTCCTTTCAGAACTGAAAGATAAGAAGCTGCCCGTAAATTTTAAAACCTAGAAACTTTTCAAAACTCAAAACATTGTGGTTTTTTTTTCCTCCTCTGATATCTGAACTCCTTTACGAAAACTTTCATATTCCATCCCAATCTGCTGCCATAGGGTTTTGATCATTTTCAGTGAAAGAATAAGACACGCAACAGGAAGGAAGAGAAACAGTGACTCTTTGTCTTTTACTGGAAAACTTACAGACCTGTGATCCAGATGGATTTGAGGAGACAGATCTGGTTACTGATTGGTTTTACCTTCCAGCAGTGGGAGTATTAAATACTCCATTTGGTAAGGTTTCCCCTTCCTGCCTTGCCTAATAAATGGCTCAGAACTGCACGAGAGGCGCAATACCAAGTCCGTTATTACACAGAAACACTCTTGCTACTTGCAACAAGTGTGAGAGTTCATCTCATTAACTGATTTCAGTTCATTTGGCATTAAATAATTCCCAGAACTCCCATATGTTTGTCCAATATGTTCTACAAGGGGCATGATTCTCTCAAAGCAGTTCCAGAGCTCCTTTCAGAGGAGCCCCTCGCTGCTCAGTCACACGCGTCCCTCCGCTCGGCGGTGACAGTGACCCTGGAACCTGCCAGGCGCTGGCACCAGAGCCCACACCATGTCAGTCACTCTGGCTTTTTCATTTTGTACATTTTTAATATTTATTTTTTCCTAATGAGGTGGGTGGGAAGCCACTTGGCAGACCACCATCATAGTCTCCCAGTCAATTTGCTAGGCTGCTCCCAGGACTCTCCTACCGCTATTGACATGATTTCTTTTTGTATCTTGTATATTTGTGTTTTGCTTCATTCTTGATGCTTGAAAAATTTCAGCTGTTTCTGATGGGAACCATCCCCAGTAGCATAACTGAAACTCTGGATTCACATCTCCTAGAGGGGTTGTGCTGAAAACAAAATAACCTGTATTTGGCTCCCAACACTGAAGATGAGTTGTTGGCTTTGTACTGGAGGTAACTTCAGCAAAATTCCACCACCACTCCCCACCCTCCCTGTATTTTATGTGTTTGTCAGCAGCAGCCACTTGGCACAGGACGTGTGTGTTGGGAGAGAGATAGGATAGAAAAGCACCAGCCAGGTTAAATGACTCAGGTTTGACTCACTCTCTGGAAAGATGCTTTTGTTACCCCCTTCCTGCAGCTGCATCAAAACAGAGATAAGGAAGGTGAACGCACCAGCCTTTGCCGAGGTGCGGCACAGAGAAATCGTATTAACTGAATCACTAAAAAATAAATATGCATAAAAGTTGGCTTGAGGCATTCTAATAATTCCGAGATATTTTTCTTTGCATTTATAAGTGACTGGATGCTTTCTTAAATGAGCTGGAAAGAGAGGTGATGTGGGGTAACTGCTGGAAGGTTTTATTTTTAAGGAAATCAAATGACATTTGTAAAGGGTAGCAGTGGTTGGTGTTAAGTGATGGTATTTTGTGGAAAAACTGTTTTCCTAGCAATGTAGCAGTTGTGAAAAATTGTTATTCATAGGCATAAGCAGAAGCAAGTTGTTTTTTGCTTGAACTGTTTGATTTCAACAACTCCAGCGTGTCTCTGAGCGGATCCTTGCTGCAGCGAGGTCTGCGAGCGCTGGCTGCTCTGTGCTCTGCTCGTCCCTCCCCCTCTTACTCCTGTTCCAGAGGAACATGGCAGCTGGAGGAGAGGCTCTGTCGGTGCTTTGATTTTTTTTTTTTTTTTTAGCCTAAGAATCCTACAAACACTTCGAAGCACTGAGGCTTAGGGAGCGTTTATTATTATGACACTTGAAAAAGCAAAAGCAGAGTTGGCCTTTTTTTGTTAGCGTGTTCTGTCTTCTTCTTTTCACTCCAGTCTTCATCTCACAAATACTTGTTCGTGTCGTCTTTAGTAAGGGATGTCACTGAAGTTGTTGGAGCTTTTCAAGTCTTTAGCAAGAACGGTGGTTTTTAACTGCATTTCCTGAGCACTTACGGCTGCACTGAGGATGCTCCCCCGGGTGACGCTGGATGGGTGTGCAGTCAGGGTGCAGGACTGCGTCTGACTGATTCGGGTGCTGGGTTACACCCGCGCGTGCCCAGGCCAGAGGCACGGTCACTCCGCTGGTCACCCCGCTCGGCTCCGGAGCTGAGGGGTTATGGGGCAGCGCGGGGCTCGGCACGGCCAGCGTGGGGTGGGCAGTGCTGCCCCTAGCCCGTGACACGGCACTGCAAGCGTGTCCTAATTTCTAAAAGGGGATTTTCCCCTTATTTCTATCTCAGTTTTATTAGTATAGTATTATATATTATATATAATATAATATATAATATATTAGTAGAAATAAATTAGATATTTATTTCTATCTCGGTTTTATTCTCCCCCTTGCTTTTATCCTTAGAAACACCAACATGTCTGATAATTCAGAGGCCAAAAATTTGGATCATACAACCCAAATGAAGGGTTACAGCGTAAAAAAACCCAAACCCCCAAACCAAAAGGGCGGGATGTTCCAATTGCTCGTTTTAATGGCTAAGAAAGGATTCTCATGCGCCCTGTCGCTGGTTCTGCACAGGTAGTTGTTACAAGAGGTGTGGAAAACACATTGATGTGGGACAGGGTTAAATTTAGATTTGAACGAAAGAGAAGGAAAGATTCTTGTCAGACATTTCATCTTTATAACTCAGCAAGCAGTCAGTCCAGCCAAACACGGGCGATTACGTTCAGGTGAGATGAATCCCTGGACTCGGGCTGTGCCGATGGGCTCTGCACTGGCTGCACGGGGGCCACGTGCACGTGTCTGCTTCGCAGAGTTCGAAATGTGAGCAAGGAAATCCTGTCCCTGCTGGCTGCTGGAAGTTACCTCGCTGCTGCGTTCTGCAGAATATAAATGTGTTCTCAAACCAGGGAGATCACACTCAATCTGGAAAAATTTATGAGACTGTTTTTAAACCATAATTTGTTTTATCTTCACTACTGTGAAAATATTGTTGATGGCAGTCTTTGAAGGCAGAATTAGATGGTAATACTACCAGCTGGTGCATAAAGCAAGGCTTACATGCACAGAGTAATTTTAGTGCTGTATTTAGTTGAGCAGATCGAAATGTATTTTAAAGACCAAAATCCTAAACTGACCAGCCAACGACTTGAGTAGATGTGGCCTAATAGTTTTGTTTCATCTCCAGCCACTGCTTCTACATGAAAATTAGCACAGTAATTGCTTTGCTTATCCTTTTCTGTGACAGATGAGTGAGGTACTTAGATTTTCACTAAAAAAATTTTAAATTTGCAGTTAAAGTAAATTTTCACTCCTTATTAAAAAGAGCCTGACAGACATTATTGTCTCTCCCCCAACGCAAAGCCTACAGCCAGAAGGCACAGATGTTCTCCTAGGACCAGAAGTAACTTGTGGGCCTGCAGATTTGTCTGTCAGCACGCCCTTCGCCTTGACCATACCACACTGCGCAGAAGTAAATTCAGAGCACTGGAATATTCACTTGAAAAAAAGGACACAACAAGGAAAATGGGAGGTAAGTTTAGACTTCTGCTCCCACTTAGGAGGTTGTATTAACAATGGAAAATTGATTACTCTTACACATGCAGGAGCAGGTCAGAGATTATGTAAGTGCTAGAAATAGAAATCTTAAACAATTTTAAAGGATTTTGCATTTTGTTAAGAAGCAGCTAAACTCTCTTCAACTATTTTACTAAGATGTGAAAAAAAAGGGTCAATTTTGGCTCTAGTCCATGTGACACGAGGAAGTATTAATCTTCTCAGATCACTTAATAATGGAGCCAGTAGCCATTTATTTTTAAAGACATTGTTTTGATAGATCAGAGCTCCCAAGGAGACTCACGTCAGAACAGATCATTCTATCCACACAAGAATTTGTCATGACATAAAGCAAGTTACGGAACTGGTTAAAAATACACACTCCAAGTTTACTCCTTTTTTAACCTAGAAGGATCCTCTGATTTAAAACTCTTTGTCTCATAACATGTTGTGCTAACAGGCATTCAGTGACCGCGCTGTGCTCACAACCTCTGACGGATTAGTGTACGCTCAATGAGATACTTTGCTTTTTTAGTTGAACATGTATTTTCTCATCCTGATTTACTGGGCGAGTTAAGCTCTGGGCATTCATGACCTGTGGTTTGATCATTTGTGTCTGTCCACCTGGGTTGTTTTTTTAGGCCCACTGGCCATCTTCAACTGGAACTGCTTGGTAGGCAGCAGTCTCCAACACATTAAACTTTCTGCATTGTTTGGGAAGAGAGCTGACTTGTAAAACTCCTAAAGGGATGGCTAAAGCGCAAACCAAACTGTCAGTTGAGATCCCAGAAACCCACACAGGATAGAAAGGTGCTGAACTTCCCAACTGCAGAGTTCACTCTATACGTTACTGGAACTGCAGAACCCAGTAACTAGACACAAACCCACAGTCAGTCAGATTTTATTGCCCTCCTGCTGATGGAACTGTTTGGTTCATCACATCGTGAGGGGAGAAAACCAGCAGTTAAAACATCCATGGACACCGTAACTCGCTCTATGCTTTTCCTGCCCTAAACCAGCTGTTCCTCTCATTTAAACCATTTCAAGTCCAGCTTAGTTTTCCTCCTCTGGACGCAGTCAGTATTAGTGAGTTCCCTCAGTGTTGGTTACAAACACCCTGGGGTTCATGAGGAGTGTAACACCACGGTGTAAGCTGCTCACATACCTCATCTAATGATGCTGTAATGCAGAGCTAAGCACGAAAGGCAGAAGAGTGGGATAGGTGTTTTTTTGATGAAAGTAAACATAACTGTAATGGATATTCTGAAAGAAAGTCAAATACCAACTGTTGTTCAAGGTTTTCTTATTGACTTTAATCTTTCAGGTAACTTCTTAATGTGGCATTGGGAAACAAATAGCTAGGAAGTCAAGAGCACTTGAAAAAAGATGCTAAAATTATTTAAGCATCGTCATTATTAGTGCACACACTGAAGTCTGCACGGTGTACTGCCATAAACCCCCTTGCTGCTTCAGGGCTAACTGGGAGTGCTTCCCCGCAGCCTCACCCCTTGCCCGAGGTCAGCTCAAGCAAGGAGCGTGCAGACCACGCTCAGAAATACTTTACATTCCAGTTGAATAAAACTAAACAATGTCATGACTCCTATTGTCAAGGCCTATTGATTTTATTATTTTATTTTTTTTTTAAACCTGAATTTCATTTTGCAGGAAGTGATGTCTGTGGAAGAGGAAACTACTTCTTGCTACTGCCTGTTGGATCCTTATGCCTGTCACATTCTCTTAAACAGCTTTGGAACTTATGCTCTTATTGGAGAACCGATCTCTGACTGTGCCGTTCGACAGCTGAAAGTCGCGGTTTTTGGCTGCCTGTCTTGCAATTCTCTGGATTACAATCTGAGAGTATATTGTATGGATAACACACCTTGTGCATTTCAGGTAAATGGTTTCGCTTCGCTGATTTGGGTTTTGTTGTTTTTCCCTAGAATACCAACATTCCTGGGGATAGTTCCTGGGCCACAGCAACAGCCCTGAACTCAAACACACACAAATACGTTTTTGTGCCACTGCTGCATGACTTAGTCCCTGAATGTGTCTGCACTGTTGTCTCACTTGTGGATTTACACTGCAAGAGCTTTAGGGCAGCCCAACTGTCTTTTCATTTTTTGCCCGGCAGATGGAAACCCACTCTGCCCGCGTTCTAGACTAACCAAAACTCACGTAGCCGTGGTTAACGCAGCCCAAGGTTGCAGCTGGTAAGCAGAGGGGTGTTAGGCTGGGCTCTGTGCCTTGGCTGCTGCGTGGCACAGGCAGAGCTTGCCCACATCTGGAGCCGAGTGCTGCTCTGCTACACGCAGAAAATGTAAGTCGTTATCATTTGATGTGTATAGGATTTCTCACACTCATTACCCTTACACTGCCGTTAGTCAGGTCAGGATTTCCTCTCCTGCTCACAATTTGAGCAAGAAGAAAGAGATTGCCTCACCATCTTTTTAAACAAAAATTAAAGGATAATCATGCATTTCCCCTTTAAAAAGAAAAAAAAAATTTAAAAATCACAAAACTATCCCCAAGTGACAATTTAAAATTAGCATTTTTTTCTACCTGGTTTTCCAAGACAAAACAGCGAAATTCACTGGCTTTTTCAGTCTCTAGTAAACTCAGAAGCTATAACAAAATGATTTTCTTTTGGGAACTGAAATAAAGACAGTTGTGACAGATGAATTTTCGCTTCCTTTTCCTATGGCACAGAATAGAAACATGAATCTTAATGAAGCACGCACTAATGTCTGTGTGCTTCCAATAAAAGCAAAGCCACTGAAAGGATTGTTAAAGACTGACAATAGCTTTGCAATTATACCCTTTATAACACTTCCACAGTTCGTGGGCTACCAGTATTTTCCTGGATGAGTCTGTAGAAAATTGTTAGAAGAATAATTACCAGTTTTCTGCATTCACAGAAATTAGAACAGGATGTTTGTACATAATGAGACAACTGTATAGTTATGAAATTATACTTCCTTTAAAAGGATGCTGCATCAACTTCATCCCTAGTGTAAATATTAAGCAGTGAACATGGAAAATACAGATTTTGTTGTTGTTGTTGTTGGAGAAAGTATCGGAGTTGTGCTTACCAAGTTTTGTTTGACGTGTTACTCTTTTACAGTTGACGTGTTACTCTTTTACAGTGCAGTTCTATAGAAGATACAAAATTTCTTGATTTTTCACTTTGTCCCTGTGTGAGAACTTACCTGACTTTTCTAACGGATGACTTTGCCCTTTATGCAGTTTCTAGTGTGCTGGGAAACTCTTGGCTCTCAAAGTATAAGAGAACCAGATTCTCTGTATCTTGTAGTTTGCTGTGGTCCTGCTGAGGCTTGTGGAATTCAGGACCAGAAGCATTACTAAAGGCAGAGCAGTATTTATACAGCTATTGGTTCTTTTAGAAAAAAATTCCAGCACGTTCAAGGAGTTTTGAAAATAATTATGAAATGAGCTATTCCCTTTGCAGTTGACAACCAAAAAACTAAAGTCTCTTTCATATAAACCCCGTCATCAGGAGTTAAAACCAACTGAAGGGCTGTGAATTGGTTCATAATAGAAATCCATTATTATGGTTTCAGAAAGCTCTAGCAGTCATTATATCTTCAGAAGGTCACAATGATTCCAGTAGCTCTTCTAACAGTAACTTTGCTACTGACAAGCACTAAATCTCTTCGATTTGATATAATTTACGTGGACAAAAAAAAAACCAAAAAACAACAACCAAAAGTAATTTCGAAAGACTGCTTGCTAGCTGATTTTTAAAGACTTCTGCAAGCTTTCCTCCCTCACTAGTATTTTTACTGTAACAGTACAGGAATAAACATTGTGTAAGCACAGGCAGGGGCGATAGGTTTAAAATTCACAGAATTATATAAAACTTTAGGTCAGAGCAGACCTCTAGGGGGCTGTAGTGCAAATTCCTGCTCAAAGCCTGCCCTTCCAAGATTGCTTAGGGTCTTGTCCAGTAATCCTGAAAACATCCAGGAGAGGAAAAATGGAACTAATGTGTACGCTTGGTGCGTTTCTTTCAGTGCTCTTTAAAGCCCTGAGAGTACTTTCTGACCAAAACTGCTGTTGACTTAATCTGTAACTGAGGAGACTCTTCACCAAGCGTGCCTTAGGTTGTCTGTCTCCCTTTTAGTCTGTTAAGTAAATATCTCGCTGAGCTTTGTACATCCAGTGTTTAAGGAAGACCCAACCTTTAGGAGGTTTTTATTTGAAAGCTTAATAAAAATACCAAAAACGAGTTGTGTTATTCCCAAACAGAAGAGGGATTAAAATACAATGATGCCGCAGTTAAACCAGTTTCCGTTTTCCTCTTTGGAGGGAAAGAGCTTTACCTGGAAATGGGCTGACATGTTCTTGCCTCCCTCTTGCTGCTGTCAGAGCCACTCTGGGTGAGGAGCTGCTGGTGGGCTTCTTCCTAATAGTGCCTGGGGGATGCAACAAAACAGGAACAATCAAACACTAAAAAAAGAAAACTGGCTGGCTTTGATTAACCCCCCAACCGTGAAGACAGCCACTACTGCGCTGCAATACCCTGGAAGTTCCCTGCTCCTGATGTGGAGTAACGGGGGTGAGGCCGAGGTGCCCAGAAGGAAACAAAACAAAATGTAACCCCAGGGGGGGAATGTAAATGCCAGTGCCCGTCATTTGCCCCACGAGAGAAATACTCCGTGCTGCGCCCCGGGGCGCTGTAGGTGAAGTAGGCACCTTCCACGAAGATGAGTTTTCCTTAGACTCGGTATTTGTTCCTAATACTGAAATTAATTCTTTCCTGCTCTGCCATTGCAGGAAGTGGTTTCGGATGAAAGACTCCAAGGAGGACAATTACTGGAGGAACCCAAACTTCTGCATTTCAAAGGGAATACCTTCAGTCTTCAGATCTCTGTCCTTGATATCCCTCCTTTCCTTTGGAGAATTAAACCATTTACTGCGTGCCAGGTACTTGCCAATTTTATCTGTTCACATCTGAAGTAAGAATTTTCACTGGTATAGGCATAACCCAAATCAGAGCCTGGTCCCTTTTATTTTTGAAAGGCGTGCTTTTTAATCTATCGAGTATTCAACAAAAATGCACTGCCTTATGATTTTGACAAACACAGATTTCCTATTTAACAGAATGCTTTAAATTTTTCATTTTATAAACATGCCATCTTGTACTTTCCCCCATTTCAGCTACCTCCAACAGAAGGCCCATATTCTTGTTAAAATTACCAGTCATGAAGATGTTTTTGATATCTTTGTCATTCCAGTTTCAATATAACTATGAATATATGGCTGAAAATGACATTTAAATGCAATCATTTAAATGTCATGAGATCAGATTACTGCACGTATATACTAAGAATCAGAACTAAGGAAAAGTAAAATATTTTTTCTGTGGTACCTTCATTAAGGATGCCATTGAAGACAGGAAAGTAGAAATGAAAAGAAGAATTTCTAATTATATTGGTTACTGGAAGTTACAAGCAATGTGCTGGCACACAGAGTGGGCTGCTCCTTTAAAATACAGAATTCAGACTATATCTCTTTTACATCTCTTTCTCAGAAAATATAGAGAGATGGTTATCTATCACCCTGTATTTTGGCAAAAAAATTGCTTTAAATGTGTTGCCGTGTTCTCCAAAACATGAGTGGAATGGGCTCTGAAACTTATAAACCCTGATCTATATCCACATAAATTCCTAAATCATTGAGAATGTAAGGATAGTTGATGCTAGAAGAAATGAAGAGCCGCGTCATTTTCAGCTCCTAAGTGTTCTGTTATTTTAAGAGACAAACGAATCTGTATTAAGATGCCCCACTACTGTATCAGATACCTATTGAAACTAGTAACTTCCCGAGCAGTTAAAAAAAAAAAAAAAAAAAAAGGGGGGGAGTTTTCTCTTAACACAACAAATTGAGTTTTGCCTCACGTGTTGTAAACACTGCTCCATGCTTTGATTAATTTGCTGTCTCTTGATCCCTTGTCCAATCTTGGAGAATAAATCTGCATGATAGACTAAAATTCAACCTCAAAGTGCTGTTTAGGAAGAGTCTGTTTTCTGAAAACTGCTTTCTAATAACCATTTGATAGATGTGAACTAAATACATGTGGCATTATGTCAATCTCTTCTGAGTGAGGAGGCAGACAGACCCCGTGCACAGGCCCATCATGCAGAGTGTGCATTAGTTAAATGTCCAGTGGACAAGAGAAAAGAATCAGGAGAGTTTTAATTGATCGTGTCTCACCATGGTGACTGCTTCAAAAACACATTACGTTGGTCAAAAATCCCCATGCCTTTTCCTGCAGCAAAGCAACTTCTGTAAATAGCTTTAGTAATAGGATGTAAAACCCCGAAGACAAACACTTTCCCTCCCCTATGTTGGAGATGGTAGAAATTACAGTTCGTGGTGTTTTCTGGGACTGTGGCAGAAAGGCCTTGGCAGAAGGAACCCAAAGAACCCAAATAACACCCTGGAATGGTAAATTAGAAGAACAGCCCACAGAAAACAACTCTTACTGCGCTGTCCGCAAACTATTCGGCTGATGACCAAAGAAAGAGGTTTATGCTACTCTAGCCTCCATGTTTCTTTGTAGTTCAGAATTTGGGGAGGATTATTTTTGCCTGGTAATTTCTGCAAGGCTGTTATTTCTTTGGGCATCACCTCCTTTGCTGGTTGTGAGTCCCTGGCGCGTGCAAAGTCCTGAGAGTGACTTTGTGTGCACTTGAGCACTTTTCTTAATGCTGGGTACAACTCCTGTGAATAAATATATTGCTTATGGTATATAAAACTGGGGGGGGGAGAGTGTTCGTTCTCTGTTGGCAAGTCATAGTCTAGAGTTTCCAGTCAAAACTGAACTGCAAGTGCTGCTGAAACAAGACACGATAGCCGATGCAAATTTGTCTGTATTACTCTTCACGTGCTGCGAGAGCCTCACTTTGCTGAATCTAATGCCGGTGGCACAGCCCAAAGAACCTATTAAATTTACTGCTGCAATATAAAAACAGAACAGAAAAAGTCAGAGGAGGGATCTGAGGCCAGCAGAAGGCTGACGTGCTGTGTTGGCTCCCAGGCGGGTGCGGGCTGGCAGAGCTGCTGGGGGTCCTGAGCCCCCCGCGCCCAGCGCCACGCTGGGGCTGGGGCAGCATGTGCAAAACCTGCCTCACGGCTGGTACTGAAACCAAACAAACATTTACATTTTATAACTGAGTAGAGGTCAGATGACTTGGAGAGCTGAGAAATACAATAATTGTTTCTAGCAGAAACTGCAGAACAACTTACAACTGGCTTTGTGTTTCCCTCTCAGTGAAATATTTTGTGAAATGTCCCAACTCTGCTGACAACTCTGATTTGGTTCCAGCCTCTTTTATATAAAAGAATCTATTTCTTCATGTGGTTGCTTCCAGTGTTTACTTATTTTTTCTCCTATGTACCACAGTTTAAAAGCAGGCTGGGTGTTCTGGTGGTTGAGCCGAAAAGAGCCTTTTCCATAATTGTCTCCTCGGTCCACCAAACGAAACCATTATCAGGCAGTACGATGAGGGAAGATTTATGTTAATGATTTCTCAGATAAGTAAAGATCCTGCTTCAAGGCTTGAACAGATGAATAAATCATCGTGTAAAACTGTGGCATAAAAGCAGTTAATGGCAGGTGGTAGTCAGAATTTCTCCAGACTATGCTAAGTGCATTTGTTTGTCCTGGCCCCCCTGCAGAGCAGATGCTGAGTGCTTGGCTTCCTTCCCACCCAGCTCACGAGTAACGAGGGGGAACCCTTAAAAACTGGCTGGGTGTGAAGAGCAGGAAGAGGCTCTAAGGAGCACGGTACGAAGCCAGACGGGCACCTTTGGGGGTTAAAAGCAGGTGTCTTCTGAGCATCTTGTGTCTCCTGGAGGATCCACTGTGTCTCATGTCTGTAGCTGTGAGGTGATTTACATTCCCTCTGTCTGCTAGGAACTTAATTATAAAGACAGAATAAAACTGAAAGCATTTCTGAAATACTTCAAACACTCATTGTTCCACCAGGATTTACCCCCCTGTATTATGTTTCGTATAATTCTTTTCAGCTGAGTGATTCTTCTACTCTGAGTGAAAGCAGAGATGATTACTCTGGAAAAATCTAATTACAGTTGCTCCACTTCTAATATTTTGCTAATGTTTTCTTTATCGCTGTTGGTATCTTGCTGCTGCTACCAACTCAGGATCTAAACGCAGAGCTTGTCGTTATCACTTAGAGCATCGCTACAGATCGCCCGAGACACTGAAGAAGCTGTAAACTGTATCAGCAACGAGTACAGCGATACTCTCCCTTGTTTAGTCTTGAGTGTGCTTTGAAGTGTAGGCTGAGGCGGATCTTTGAAGCTGTATATGCTCAGATTACCGGGGCACAGCTAATTTCTTCAGGGACATAGAAAAGATCACCACCTCAATCCAAAGAAAATTGCTTATAGGAAGGCAAGAATGAAGAAATGCATCTTTTCTGAGCTGTAAGCTCTTCGGTGAGCTTCCAGACCCAGACCGATCGTAAGAGCTGATACTGCATGGTTTACTTGATTTAAACAGCTAATTATGACAAGTGACTAGCTGGTAGGTCACTCAGTTATAACTATCATTATTAAATACCGAAGGATTTATATCCGCCTGTAGGCAGCACATTTTATGTCCTTGTCTGTGAACTCATTAACCCTTTATAAAGCTCTGAAAACCACAAGCAGAATACGTGCCCAGACCATATTTGCATAATTACTGTATTGTATTTGAAGGATCAGCTTTGCACGCTATTCAAATCAATTTTAAAATCTAAAAAAATAGTGCATGAAAAAGAGTAATGTGAAAATTCATAATCCTCCTCTAGAAAAACGGATGTAAAAAATCCTTAAACTAGTTTTCTTGTGTTAGAATAATTGCTCATTGAAGCTGTTTAATGATGTCCCATAATCATCTGGATGAATGCTAAGCTATAATAGAACGAAATATTAGTATCAGCCTTTTTTTGCCTTTTACATTATTCTCCAGGTTGCCAATTCTCTGGTATTTTCCAATATTTTGAAATTAATAGAGAACATGTTTGGTTTAATTATTTTTAGTATTTACATGCCTTCATGGCTGTAATGGAGAACAGCATAGTGGGTTTATAGCTGATGGTAGTTTGGAAAAACCAACCAACCAACCCCCTCCACGTTATGAAACAGAGAGAGGACACCAGGAAGGGAACTTCGGTATTTACAAAGGAATCATAAACCAGAAGGTGCTGCCCCTGTCTACATCTCCTGCCTCTTGCCGTGCGCTTTTAGGAACTCAGAGCAGCCAGAAATGCCAGAAATCTCTGATGATGAACTGCTGCAGTGTCTGTGTAGCATCTGATGAGGGCATTCACCCCATAAACTCTCCTTGGCTGAAGCAGAGGAGTCACTGAGAGCAGTCCCAGAACGTAACAGGATGAACCTGAGACGGAGCAGGGAGGTCAGGGGCTGCAGACTGCCCGGGCCGGTGGGTGTTTATCGGTGCGGATGGAACACAAAGCCGAAGATGTGCTGCCATGCCCTCTGCTGCGTTAACTTACCGAGGAAACGCAGCTCTTGATGGCAAGTTCCTTCCTTTGGATTCTGTAGTGCAAGGTGATGGCAAGGAGACACCGGTTGGAGTACGAGGTCTGATCCCTGCCTAGGAGGAGGGAACTTGATCTCTCAGGTTTGGTTTTAGATGAGAGTGTCCCATCATTTGTGTCACCAAATGGAACCCGAGCTTTCAGTAAACGGAACGTCTCAGTATTTATCAATCCAACCATAATTTATTAGTTTTTCCCGCTTTGAGTTTGCAGGGATGTTAGTAAAAACACAACTTCGGAGAAAAACTGTGGCTTGTTTCCTGGTTTGTAACTGTCCCCCCCTGGGTTTCCCGGGCAGGAGGTGCCGTTCTCCCGCGTGTGGCGCAGCGGCCGGGCACCGCTGCACTGCGCCTTCTCCCTGGAGCGCTACACGCCCGCCACCACCCAGCTCTCCTGCAAGGTCTGCGTGCGGCAGGTCAAGGGCCACGAGCAAATCCTGCAGATCCAGACATCCATCCTAGAGGTAAAGCCCATTCGCTCTCTCTTTTTCTAAAGCTGCCGAGCCATGACCCCTCCCGATTTTTGACTTTCTGACTCTGTGCGGTGTCTTACACCCTGTTCAAAGCTGTAACAAGTCTTACAGACCCCACTGCCAGCAGAAATCAAAGCACAGGGATTCTACAACACTAGAAATAATTTAGGTTTGAGTTGGTGGTAATGGTTTTCATGCAAAAAGCTTCTGAATAGCTTGCGGAGCACAGGGAGGTGAGAACAGATGGCTGTTGGGCCCCTGACTATTGACTTCCTCGAGCGTTTCTGGACTCTTTTTTTTTTTTTTTTTTTTTAAAGGGACCTATCTGTCCACAAGTCCCCAGAGCGTGTTAAAATTCTGTTTTCAAAGGGATGTGCTAGTTTGGAAGGCTTTTTCATGCCTATCACAAAAAGTGATTGAAGAGTGAGGATAATTTGACTGTAAAATAAATATATAAATAACAACTGAATACTTGAACTGCTCATTGCTTTACAATTCCCTGAACTAACCAGGTAGCAGTAGCTTATCTCACATGTGCAGGGTATGAAAATCTACTATTGTTCTGCATATTTAATTTAAGCAGTCAGACCATGCGATATATCTACAGCACCACTATTACTTTGCATGGGTGACTTTTGGGATGTGTCATAAATGTTATATGAAGAGACTATAGCATCACTGTTATTTAATATTTATGCTGCATTGCACAGAAATGAGTAATGCATGGAAATGTGGCTCTACTACACATGACTGGTATAATTTCATGGGAAAAGAAGGGGCCAGATCTACAAAAGGACCTGGATTCCAAAGAGATTTTGGAGAAGTGAGATACTTACAGAATTGAGGTGTTTTTTTTAAAAAAAAAAAAAAAAAAAAAATCACAAATGAGAGATTTGTGTGTCTATATTTTTGGCTTAAGCAATGAAAGCTTTAGAAACACATATGCTTTAGTGGCATCCCATCTAGCGATCACTGCTCTGTTGGACTTCATCTGCAGCACAAAAACAAACAAAAAGAGGAAACTTGTAGAAGGAAAGTGACACTATTTTAGATGTGTTTATACGGAAGAGCTTGTGATGTTCTAGAAGTTCCTTCACCAATCAGAAAAACACCTCTTAGCTCTTTGTTTTTCTGTGCCAATTCTACAGTCTATAGCTGGAATTTCAGACTCGGGTTTAATTTTTTAATTCCTCCAGAAGCAGCCTCAGTACACCCAGAGGTGTATGTGGACAGGCTCACTGCTGCAGGGCCCTGCATAACAAAGCGGGAAAAAAGGTACAGCACGGGCTGCACTCGCAGATGTTCTCCTTCGGAGAAGGCTGTGCAGAAATCTTGTCTCAGTTCCCCTTTCAGCAGGAGAGTATGAGAGGACTCTTGGCGTTACTCTGTTACTACGCTGAAGGCAGCCACCCACAGACCCCGGGGAAACAGAAAGCCCGATGCCCTGTCTAACTGCTTTGCTTTTATATTCCATGTAGAATGAAAGAGAAACCATCACTTTCTTTGCACATGATGACAGCAACTTCCCTGCACAGATGGGTCCAAAAGCATTCAAAATCCCCTACTCTATTAGACAACGAATCTGTGCAACGTTTGACACACCCAACGCCAAAGGCAAGGACTGGCAGATGTTAGCACAAAAAAACAGCATTAACAGGTAATGAAACGCGGTTTTGAAAGGTGAACATTTACATATGCAATAGGAATAATTTGCTGCTGTTACGGATTTTTTGTTTGTTTGTTTGCTGGTATTAAAGATGTGTGCATAGTAATTAACACACTGTCAAGGATAAGCTGCAGCTCATACGTTCTGTTATATACACCTCGCCGCTGAAAACAGGAGCTCTCTAAACAAACCCGCGTGCCCTGTCCCACCTGATGAGGTCGGTTTCTGTGTTCTGTGGACCTTCCCTTTGTGCACCCCCAGAGTCGGGGCTGGGCGAGGTACAAGCCTGCAGGAGGAGCTTGGCGTGGTTTTGTCCTGCGAAAGCTGGGGGTTAAAGGACTGAGGAGGTTGCACGTTGTCTTAAAAAAAATCATCTGGCTTGATGCTGTGGCTTCTGTCTACATGTTTTGTATTCCAAAATGAATTACACATTTTGCAGATTTTTTTTTTCTAAGGAAAGGCATATTTCAAAAAGAAAGTCATGCTCTACTGTTAGGAGTAATAATGTTATGATTATTAAAACTGAAGGATGCTGTAAAAACTAATTTACTACTTATTTTGCTTTTTCTGCTTGGCTAAATTAAATTGGTGGAGGCAGTTCACTCTCAGAAATATTTTCTGATTGTCACAAACACCATAAACATGTTCCCAAGAGGATAGAAGAATACTTAAATCAAGCAAAATAACTTTTCATTGTCTTGTTGCTTTGCACGGGAATCTCAATAAACCACATCTGAACCAAAGAAAAAAGTAATTTATAGCCTTGCAGCAGTTGAGAGAGTCAGAAAATTCTGCTTTACTTACTGGTGTTTACTACCTATTGTCAGACACTTTAACCTGCCCTGGTTCCCGTTCCTCATGCGTAGAGGGAGCTGGAGGAGATTTCGGGTTCTCTGGAGGCTGAGGGACGGTGTTCTAAGGAGATTACACTGACCTGCGTAAGACCCAGTTTGTGAGAGGCCTTTAACTTTTGATTCGTAGAGTCTTTACAGTATTTATTTTTATAAAATCAAATCCATAGATGGAAAAAGGAAGCTGTTGACCAGTTTAAGAAACCCAATTAAAAAAACACATGGTCAACACTTGACTTCATAGATTTTCCACCTGTCTGCTGCACCGTGCGATACGTTAGTGCCACCATCACGTTTCCCCCGCGAATCCAGGCAGCTGCCACACTTGTGGTTCAGTTGAGGTCAGGGTGTTACTTGACAAGAGTAACAGCCCGGCTTCAGTTCCTCAGCTTCGCCTGTTCTTTCCCTGCACTAAAACTTCACACCCTGGCTCCAGGGGACTTCTCCCAGGCTGGAGTTGTGCTACACCTGCACACACTGTTACTGCGGTCGCCCCTGGAGATGAATGTAACTGGGGAAAGGTCATTGGCAAAGCTTGAGATAAAAAATGGTCCCTGCCTGGTTTTTACTGAAGAGTAACAATGGTCAGCAGCAAATATTTAATTATCTTGGAGTTGGTTTAAAAAACCAAACAGCAGCATTTAAGTCCAGATTTCCTTTTCTGTGCTACAGATTTATCCATTTCTTCCTGTATTTATAGAAATACATCTAGATGTAATATAAATGCTATAAATAACGTTTATGCTTCTGAATGTGAAGTTATTGTACTTAATTGGATGATTATATCCAAAGCCCATAAATAGGAGTTACAGGGTAACATGTTTAAGACACTTTGTAATATCAAATTCTTTGCAAATACCACCCCTGCAAAGTCCTAAAGACTACATTATTAATAAAATATGAACTTACAAGTTAAGAGATGTCATATCTTCACATAATCACCAGCGTCATGTTAAGTTATATAACTCCCCTCACTAGCAAATACTTGCTGAGTTTACTAATGATGCTTTCCAGGACTGACTGGTTTTCGAAGCTGCATGGGATGGTCCTGCTGGCCAGCACTGATGTGCAAGTCCCTTGGTCAGGCTCCTTCCGCTAAACTGAGCAAGTGACAGTTGAAGATAAATGCACCGGTGTGTGTCCTCTTAAGGGTTCCCTCAGCTCAGCTCATCAAACTCTTCCTGAAGGCGTTTTGGTCATTTTAAACACATGTGTAGTGCTAGGCACCACAGAGGGCACTTTCACATTCACGGTACTGTTCCTCATCCTTTTTGTTCACCTTTTTCTCCCCTCCTTCCAGGAATCTCTCCTATTTTGCCACCCAAAGCAGCCCATCTGCTGTCATTCTGGACCTCTGGGAAGCCCGGCATCAGCACGATGGTGACCTCGACTCCCTCGCCTGTGCCCTGGAAGAAATAGGAAGGACACACTCCAAAATCTCAGACGTAACAGAAACTGAGATCGAGGAGCCTGACTTCAACTACAGCAGACAGAATGGACTTTAGTCACTTTTTTTCCATTCCAGAACTGACGGCCAGCTTTGACTATACACTAGAGATTCGCGTTGGCAGGGAGGAAATAAGGGTTTCTGCACAGTGTGCATGGAAACAGACCCTCATTTCCACAATGCAGTTTTCAGTTGGAAGAGCAGAAGCAGCCCTATTAGAAATCATCTCGTTCATAAGGAAAACACAAGCTTCTCCCTGTCCTCTCTCATTTAAAATTCATGTTTTAAAATCAAAACCAAAACTACACATCTATCATTCCTGGGGCAGAAAGGAGTGACATACAGAGCCGTGAAAGGTAAATATTCTGACATTATGTATTTAGGAAACAGTGATGCTAATATAATGCCTAGGGAAAATCAGCAACTGTGATACTGAATATTTAGAGCCCCCAGAGGTTAATCCTAGTTGAAAGGCTTCTCTTCTTGGGGCCTGGAGTCCCCTTTGTCCTGCATCTCTAACTGAACGCTTACACAGTGGGTTTAAAATGTCATTTGAGAGCATCATGTTGTCACTTAGGTTCTGCTACAGGAAAACGGAAAATCTGGCCTTATCCTGTTCAGATGTTTGCAGAATTAGAAGATCTCAGAACTATTTAATGGATGTCATGTGTATGCCAAACAATTCCTTTTAAAAATTCCATCACTTAATGAATGTATATTTGCTGCAGAGCTTTCCTGCCTATTCTGTTAACAAAATAACAGAACAGAACCCTTCTCTGTGAAATTAGTGTGTGTGCGTGTGTGAGAGAAATTTTCTGAAGTTCTCGGTCTGCAAACTTTCACTTAGTCAAAAAAATATTTCTTTGGGGGTGGATTTAAATAACCAAATAAAACACAGGAAATTGCCAGCCCTGTTTTAGCAATTTTACACGGTTTATTTTTCATTACTTCATGTTCTGGGGCTAAACTAAAAAGTAAAGGTGAAGTCAGTCAGCCTAAGCAAGGCCTAATTCTGGTTTAGTTTCAGTCTGAAACAATCAACCCCACACGGTACTGCCAAAAACTGGCTTGACTTCATTGTTCCAATTTGGAAATTTCACAGGATTTAAAGCTGGCTGTGTTACACTTGGTTTAGTGACAAACATACCGCGTTTGACACCAAAACCAGAATCTAACTAGAGAACGCTCTTCATTTTTAATCCATTTCACACAAAAATAATTTATTACTTCAACTGAACCAAAAATAGAGCTGTCACTGTGAGTGAGTGTTCTAGTGGAAACTGGTACTGAGCCAAATTTAGCCATTATTTTTACTCATACATTCTTTGAAGTTAGCCAGGGAGCTCGTTAGCTCTGGCCCCAGGCTGTCAGCTTTGGTGACGCGAACACAGTCGTATAAAAGCAGGAACCAAGAGCTTTATGGAAATGCAAGAAATTGAAAACAGGCATTCTGGGGGGTTTTTTACCCCCACATTTGGCCGAGAGCAGCATGATAGGCCACAGGGTAGGTATTTAGTGTGCAAATCTTTAATAATCTGTAACTTGTTTCTTTACCCAAGATTCCAGTTCTGAAAATTATGAACAACAACTCTTGATGTCAGACCCCGCTTGTTCTCACTGATCTGAAACTGCAAATTTCACTGCTTTTCCGGCTCAGCTGGCCTGAATAGGCCTAGACTTATAAATACTTAGACTTCCCCAAACATCTTCTGCACTTTAGTATTTCATGCAGTCTGACATGAGAGTTCCTGTTTGCGATGGGAAATCATAATGGCTGCGAGCATATTTAAGACTGAGACAAAAATACCAGCTTATTTGGCAGCAAGCTGTCACTGTTTTCAGCAGCACATGGTTCTATCTGTGTTTGAATTATATTTCTAGTGACTTCCAGTCCTCCTCCTCAGAAACCTGTTCTTCATTGGACAAAATGTCATGAATTAAAAAAAAAAAAAAATAGGGAATGGCATCCACAGAAAGCGCTGTCATTGTCTGGGAAACCAGCTACAGTCACTCTCCAGCAGTCAGTTTGTTCTCAGCTTCTCCTCAGACACAGTTTTAATGTTCAGACTAGCTTAGGTGAGCTGCCACGGCAAAGACCGAGGAACTACCCTGCAGGTGCTGTAACATATTCGTGTCATTCTGAAGAGCTGTATGTATTTTCTCCTCTCGTTTTCCAAATACACCTGAGCTACACACGGCAGGTGGGGTCAAAGGGAGCTGCTCCGTGAAGCTCAGACCTTAAAGCTTTTTCTCAGGAAATGCGCAGTGTTTACTTTCAAGACTTGAGTAGCTTTGAAAAACCTCTTTGTACAGCGACACCCAACTCTGCCTAGGGAATGCTCAGTGAAGCCTGGAGAGGGAGGAACCAGGAGGTGTCTAGACCTCCAGAGTTACACCTGAAAGGGCCTCGAGACCGGGGGTCTGGGCTGCACGCTAGAATACACCAAGTTAGAGCCAAAATCCAATGAAGTCGAGTGTCTGAGTTAACGTACTGAAGAGGAATAAATGTCAAAGTTTCTTACAATGACAGAAAACATTTAGTTTTGGGCCTAAGGCAAGATTTTAATTTTTACATTGCTCAACCGAGTACTGTTTCCCTTTAGGTTGTGTTTCCTGGGTTTTCTTCGTTTCTGAAGCATCTTTGTTAGATGATCTTACTTCTGTGAATCTGAATCAGGATTTCTCACTTTTTCTAACCTGTTTTTGGTTTGGTGCTCTTGGGTTGTTTTAGTGGACTAGAAATGCCACAATGCTGCTCACTTGCCTTTCTCCCATCGGGATGGGCTGTGCGGCAGTAACCCAACTGCCAGCCTGCATTTCTGATGTGACCTTCCCTAGCTGTACACCTCAGCCTTATCGGAACTGCCATACTACGTCAGGTGAAAATCCATTTAGTCTTGTACAGCGTCTCTAATAGCGACCAGGGTTGAGTTTAGGGAAACAGTGTAGGAACCGTGCCCAGGACTAAGGGACCCCCTCAGCAGGGGGTTGCATCGGGACCACGGAGAGTCCCGTGTACTGTCCTTCCACAAATTGACTTTTGAACCCACTGAAACACTTGGCCTTCATGAACAACATCCAGGAGAAACAAGTGCCACCATCTTCTCTTTCATTTTTTGAAGCAGCCCTTCCTTTCCAGGCTTTCCTTCTGTTTAACACGCGCTGCCTCACAGCTGCGCCGCGTTCCCCTAGTTCTGTGTAGTAAGGATCACTGAGTAACAGCAACCAAACCACCTTGTGGGTAGTAGGCATTCTTCTACAAGCTTCTCTTACGCTTCATTTCTGCTCACTCCCTTGTCTAGGCTGAAGAACCCTGGTTTATTCTCCTTATTTGTGCATCCTTGCTGTTATTCTCTGTATTGTCTCTCGTTCTGTATCTTTTTGGAGATGGAGTGACCAATCACCTGCTTTTCAACAGGAACGCAGGTGAAATCACACAGTTCCTCCATTTCCTCAGTTTCTTGCTGTTCCCCCATTCAGTATCAATCCCAGAGGATTAAGATCTTGCTATAGCATCAGGCCACAAGAAACGCCTGCAGGAGTGCGCAGGGTGCCGGGAAACGCAGTAACCGACTCCACTATGCAAATTACTCCAGCTAATCTATCCTGAACGTCCAGAAAATAAAACCTGTGAGGAAAAAAAAAAGTGTAGCTGAAAAAAAGACTGAAGTGACAGAGAAGACGTCAAAATCATTAAACAAAAAAAAAAGTCACAAGGAAATGATTCGTTCTCCATGATAACGATGGGTAGTGGTAGGCAGTAACTGGGCAGTAACGTTAAGTCAGACTTTTGAGTGGAAAAACAGGCTATGGGGTTTTTTGTATTCTCTTTCCCCCGCTGCATCTGTTGATGACCTGATCTGTCTGGTACAGACATGCCTGTTTTCAGATGCTCTCTTTCTGTTGTTTTGTGTTAGCATCATGGGATGATATTAATAGCACTTAGCACTGTTACTTATCAAGGCTTATGCCAGTTCTCCTCCCTTTTTTATGCACAGTCCCGGTTTTAGAGATGGAGCAATTAAAATGGTTTTTAGGTAAATGCTTCTGCTGCCATATAAATGAGGCAGCAACGTGGATTTTGTCACCGTTAACAAACAGCTGAACAATACAAGTAAAAGATGTTAAATGTTTGCTTCCTATTTTCCACAGCAGAAAGCAGCTGACTGCTGCCAGCTCCCCCACAAGCCTGCTGTAAGGATGCTTTGCCATACAGTATTCTCTCAGAATGACAATTCAGAATTTGTATGCAAATGCTATATAAATAGATCCGTTGAACATTATTAGCAATCTTAAATTTCCAGAAGCACATTTTTAACATCTACATTAAGAAGATGTTTTGGAAATCTGTATACATATATGTATGATCTGATGCAAAACACAGATGTAAAGGAGCATCTGAAGCAGGATTAGAGGCCGGAAATTAAAAATTTATTCCTTTCCTCTGTATTATTAAATTATGAATTTTAAAAAATAATGTAAAAAAAAAAAATCTCTTCACAAGCTAGAAAGTAAACGAAAGCAAAATGTAACGTTACACACTTAAGATTCCATCTAGCCGCCCTGAGTCCAAGATGGTGAAATAACTGTTTTGATTTTACATCACCAAAGAATCTGCTCTAGTGTATTTTCATCTTCCTAAGCACTTTTCCCAGATATTTCTGTGCTGTGAGTCATTTAAGACTAATAGTTGCATTTTAAAAATGACTTACAATTTTGTCACCAAAATGGTGCTCTTCACAGCTCCGCCAGACTGCAGCATCGTAAAGCTAATTTACAGTTTTTACAACACTGCTTTCGCAGTCTTACGAGTTGCCATTGAAATCCTTTAAGCCACAAGGAAAGGAACCCTGCTCTGTAGATTTAAATTCAAACTTCATTTACCAGTGCAAGTCCCATAAAACCAAGATATACTCCCACAAAAATTTTATCGGGCTTTTTGTAATAGATGAAAAGATATCAACACAAGTCTCTTAAAATACAGGGAACTATTTTTGTTATTATTTTTATCTCTGGCAGCAGCTGGCCGCCTCCTCTGGGCCTGGCACAGCTTGCTTTCAGCAGGTTAAGTGAGAAGCCTGTTGAGCATAAATCACTAAACCAGGGATCTTCCTGTAGGAATACATGGTGTTCCCATCATTTTTTTTTTTTTTTTTTTTTTTTTTTTTTCACTCGAAATATAGTGCTGTATGAGAGTTTTACAACTCTCAGTAACTGATCAATTCCAGATACTATTTTCCACTACACAAAGCTATAGCTTATGTATACAACGAAGCTAAAACAAGTGAGGAACTGTTGTGGACTTCTGTTCGTCATTTGAATTTTTTTTTTCCAGTCTATTTCTACCTATAAAATATATATTTAAGCAAAGGGCTGCGTTATTTCTTGGGTAGTAATTAACCAAGTGGAAAACAGGAAACTAATTCCTTAAGAAAGATCTGGAGATTTCTCTTTCTAGCCTTTCTTTTACTAACTTCATTATCCTTAGGAAGTTCTCCCACTTTCTCCACAGCAGTTAACAGATGGTTAACGTTATTCACTGAGAACCTTTCTCATGTTAAACCTGCTGAAGGGTGTTTTCTGTGGGTTGTTCATTTGTGCTATGTGCGTTGGGAAGATGACTCCCTTGACACTATTCCTGCTTCAGAAGAGGCTGGCGGTCTTCCCGCAGCAGCATGTAAAATGGCACATATATCCTTTCCTTGGATATGTAATGATTGCCTAGTTAAAACAGTCTCGTTAATTACTTAAAAGATTCCTGATCAAGTTCATTAACCTAAAATACTAGGTATGTAACACGCAATACCTGTAGCAACAAAGAAACTCAGTATGCTGGTAAGAGATCATGAATCATTTTCTAGTAGCGCACAGTCCAGCTCTTTTCTCTCATTGCCAATACTGGCGTAAGCGGTAGCAAAAATCTCCTTTCCAACATGAACAGAGATAAATAAATCACTCTGAGATTAAAGAATCACTTAGAGAATCATTTGCTAGTAACAGTGTCTGCAATGCAGAAAACGGAACTGATGTTCTACTCATTGCCGCAAGGAACAGAAAAATCCGTCGCTATCCATGTTCACTGTTCTGTCCACAAAGAAAATAAATGTCTAGGAATTTGCCACTATATTTTTTGTATTAGAGGTGAATAGTACAGATTCTACTAGTGTTTCTTGTCTGGGGCTTGGGTGGGTCGGGGTGTATTGTAATTTTCAAGCTATTGCAAAAGCTGCTTTTAAATAAGCTGTTCAGTTGTATTGAATAACTGGTTTGTGCTTTACAAGGGAATCCCGGGGAGCCAGGATTCGAGGGGGAGCCTCCCTGCCTTGCTGTCACAGGGTAACTAGAGCTGAAGTCACTTGTGAAAATTTAGCTACGGGATAGGGAGATTAGATGACCCGTCCCTGATCTGTAATGTAGTGTACTGTAATCTAATGAGATTAGACACTCACCTACTGTAGAACCGTGGTTTTGTCAGCAGCTACTTAGTTTGTCTGCCCCGGTGTGATAACCTTGGTTGAGAATGTACTTCTGCAGATTTAAGAAGATGTCAAACCCCTGTGTTATCTGGTCTCTGTATATAAATCTTATTGTCTAATCCCAAAAGGAAATGTGTAGCACATAATGAAGTTAAGGGTGTTCTGCACCGAGCCTGGCTGAAGTTTTTTTTTCTGATACGGCAGGAGGGGGAAGACATGGATCTAACAGCAAGTATTTGCTACAGAGAACAAGAATGTTTCCTAACAAATGCTCACTTAGAACTGACTGAAGCTTTGTTTTTGCAGTTTAAAAAAATGTAAGACCTGGTATTTCCCATACTGAAATTTGGAACATTAACCTGATGAGATCTTTTCAAGCAATTCCTTCAGTTTTCCCCCATTTGTGCCCTGAAGTTGGAGGGGGAGGGAGGAACATTTTTACATGAAGCTGTAAACTTTTGCATTCGTTCTACTTTGAATCTAAAACCCAGATCCCATTACTGAACCTCACAAAGTTCCCTGATGCATCAGCGCACGCACACACAGGCCTCACGGGCGATGTGGCACGTCCATACTGCTGGTACAGCTTTGGCAACAGCAGACTGACATCATATAATTTGTGACCTGGGAGACGCAGCTGCCTCCTCCCACCTCTGAATCAAATTTCATGCCCACTGTGACTCTGCTGATCTCAGTTGATACATGGGTGCAAAAACGTTAAGTTGGACACCTTTCGTTAATTTGGGTGGAGTAAAATGTGATGCTGGTCAGTCTGGGGAGACCCAAGAGTGTCACGTATGACCAGAGCTAACTGAAAAATTTTTATTGCACTTTCAAAACTTTTGACCAGCCTGTTGGTGAAAAGGGGAGTGGGAACTTCAACCTAATCAAATACAAATTAAATAATAATTTTTTTAAAAGATAAAAAACCCACAAGTATATTCCTCTAGAGAGACCTATTTTCTCTTCTGCTCCTTTATTTTGGCAGTGAACAGGTTCTGAAAATGTTTGTTCTTGCACTGAGCAATTCTTCCCTCCCCCCACTTCTCCCCACAGTTTCAGTGTGTTTAGAACTGAAAAAAAAAAGAGCAGAGGTTTGAATGCTTTCTTTAGTATGAAGCTGAAGGAGTAGGGAAGAGAGAAGAACATAAAACAAAAAGCATGGCCTTGGCTTCATACCACACTTTCTGTGCCTTGTTCTATCAATGTAAATTCTGAATGTTGTACAGTAAAATACTTGGGAAAGACTTCTTGGAAAAGGCTGCACTGGCTTCTTTTTTCAGCACATGTACATATATAAATATATATACATATATATTTGGTAATGCCAAACAGCTGTGTTATATTGTACTGAAAAAGTAATAATGGACAGTTTGGATGTTTTATGTAGAGTTTGCAAAAACTGTATGGCTATAGCCTTTTGAAGATAAATGTACAGACGTAAATTACTGCATATCAGTTATTTATGAATAAAGAGTCTTTTACTGACATCTTGGAGTACTGTGTGAGTGGCCCATTAATGTCGGTGATGAAGCAAGACGCGCTGATACGAGCCCTTTGGGATGCTTCACTGGTTTTCTCATGAGCCTTGTATGGCAGTTTGTCTGGAACATTGTGTACTGGGCACCTTTTTCCAGAAAACCTGCAGAATTACAGGAAATGGACCAGAAATGAAGTCTACCCTTTACTGACAACATTGAAACAATTCAGGAATATCATCCTGCTTCCTACTAGTCTGAGCTACAACCCGAAGAATGCCAATTACATTCAACCTAAAATGTGATTTAAGGCATTTGATTGAAACACCTTATTTATCTGTCTGAGCATATGTACAAGCCCTGCTCCAGGACTTTGCAAAAGCAACTTCCATTATTCTGCTTTTAGCAAGACGGAAGATGCGAAACCTCTCTGCGTGTGGATGTGACAGTTCCCTCTAAAGTCAGATCGCTCCTCTGCTGCCTTCAACAAGTGCTTGTACCCGGAATCCTGTATCCCTGGAAACAAAGCTGAGTTGTGTCCCGTTTACCATGTAAATGTAACCTTCTGGTTTGTAATACCCTTTACTGAGACACACCAGATAAGAACTCATTGTCTTGATGAATCCTCCCCATCCAGATGAGCTCATAAACCCTAGGTCCCACTTAGAACAGCAATACCCCGTCAGCAAATGCAGCCCGGGCCTGCAATCAGAAAGCCTCTAAGTAGCCTTCACCAATACTTGCACCCTGCACGGAAGGTGGCGAGCGAATCCAAGACTCATCCGTGCTCACGCCTGTCAGGCACGCAGACATCTGCCCCCGCCAGCGCCAGGAGAAGGGACGGGCCCTTGGCTTAAGCCCCTGCACTGCTGGGGGGGTTGGTTTCTGGTTTTAATAGTTTAACTCCTGTCCTGCCTGCCTTCCGTCTCGGGCATTTATCACTGTACCGACCCCCTTAAAATCCTCACCGTAGCCACCCCAGCCAGGCGGTGTCTTTACGGAAACAAGACTTAAAGGTGAGACAAAATCCTCCAGCCTTCTGCTAGACACAGCACACAGCCCTTTTCTGGATGAATTTGGTCTACGCTCCAGTTACCACCGTGTCACATTAACACATGCAATTAAGCATCAAGTACAACTAATGGTAGCCTGACAAAATGAGAATCTGGATATGGCACTCACCTTAAGTGAGATGTTATAAAACATGTTGTTAATACACACATAGCAGGGGGTGCTAGGACACGCTGTTATAAATCAAGATATCCTTCGAACATTTTATTACATGCATTTAGGTTGTTATCATCTAAGATATCATACACCATATAATGTAATAGCCACCCTTTATAATAAATAGGACTATCATGTTAACTGCCTTTGACATTCATTGTAAAATTATTCGTGATTAATTATGTTTGCAGAGAAATAACGTGTGTTGTTGTGAGAAGTTCACTGCATTGTGATTTAATGAACAGCCCCTCGGAAATGATCCTGCAAGCAGAGGCTGCTGTCAGGCTGTTGGGAAGGAGGGCGACGGTCTCCACTGAACCAGCAGCAGAGTGGCCTCTCGTTACTTCCCCGCCACGCGGCTCGTGTCCTGCTGCTCCGTCAGGAACAGGCAGTGCCCCAAATACAAGGGCGGTTTGCATTAATAAAATGAATTCGCTTTTTTACTCCAGTTATAAAATTGCTGTAACGAGATATGGCTCCTTTATTCTTGGTGAAAAACCAAATGGCTTTCCTTCCTTCACAAAGTCTGATTATCTGAGAACCAGATTATCACTTTGTAAAAAGCCCCAGCTCCCCGCCGGCCAGCCTCCTCTGGTATTACGGTCACCTGACCGTATATTAAAGGTGTCCCCCCTCTTCTGGCCAAGCTGGCATCAGGAGTATCCCCAATAAAACCTCCTCACTGCGTGTCGCCTGACAGAGTGCACAAATCTCAAAGCCCTAACAACTGGAACACAGGTTTCACTGGTTTTAATCCACCTGCACAGCCCCATCCTGTAACCTGTCAGTGAGGCCACGAAGCACGGCCACTGGAGAATTCAGGAAAAGGGCTGGCTAAAATTAAACAACTGCTTGGTCCTGAAAAACACCTTTATTTATTTTACTTATTTATTTACTTACATATTCACTGATTTATTTTACCCCTTGTTTATAGCACTGCTAAGCACACCTAAAACAGCCGTTCCTGAAGTGACTGGAGAGTACTGGTGTTCCAGCCCGGGTTGGGTCCCCAGCTCTGCACAGCGACTGGAGGAGCTTTCCCTCTGCTCACCTTCTCCTCTTCCAGTTTATCCCTCTTACAGTACCAAGCACAAGGAGCACTGAGCCTGGCAGAGCTCTTTTAATGTTCTAAAAAATACATTTTTACGTTAGCACAAACGACTACTTGGGACATTGCGCAATCGCAAGTACCCCCCTGCCCCACAGCTTCTTGATGAACTCCTGAGATTAGCAAAGAAAGAACCTCGATGTTACTGTTACTGTACTGAGACTAATTCATTTTATTTTAAACAGTCAGCCACCTAACCCACTATCAGAACCAGGACCTTCCCCCTGCCGGAGCCAGGAAGTCATCTTCACTGGTGCAATTAAAGTTATAATTACTCTCATTCCCCTTGTCTTGTACATATTTACTTATGGATTTTTGAAGAATTAAGGCTTGTGAAAACACGTGCTGTTCGTAGATACCTGTTCTGAACACAGGTAGAATGTCAGCTCACACGCTAAGCGACAATGAGGCATTGATCTGTCGTTGAAGGTCGTGAAAGCTGGGTGAAGAAAACATAAAACTGAAAGAAGGTGGAGATCTAAACTGTAATGCAAACAACTAATACATGTTATTTAATACAGTAAGGATCCCTTCTATTCCGATTAAAGTCATTTTGGTCTCTGAAATCAAACAGCATGGCTTAGAATGAGCTTTATTACACACTGCAGAGAGATGTGCTTTGAGGACATTTGGTCAAAACACGTAGCTCTCAAATTCAGGTGGGGAAAACCAAGAAGAAAGAGGAATTTATATAGCCACCGTACACACAAACGTTTCTGTGTTCTGAAACTATTTAACAGCTGAGATTTAGACAGAATAGCCACCTCAAGAAGGTCACAGCATCTAGCCGATGCGATTGGGCTGGTCTTGTAAGAACTGCGTCTGCGGGTCCCCAAGGCAGGCCGTCACACTGGGAGCTGCCGCTGAGCCCTGCTGGCCTCCCTCCGCTGCCGTCCCGTGCTTGCTGACAAAAGCAAACTGAATAAATGCTTCTTCCTTCTGCCAGTCACAACCGGGGGAGCCAGCGCTGTCTTACCAGCTCCTGCGACTGAGGGGAGCGTGGAAGATGCTCAGGCAGGGGAAAGCTGTTCAGCCATGCAGGCAGAAAGCTGCCGCGGTATTTTCAACACAAAGGAAGGTCCAACACTCACCTGTTGTTAAGCATATCAGATATTATTATGTAAAATGGATTCAATTTTCAAACAGTTCTGAAAGACGGCATCTAACAAACTATCACTTCTAAAGACACCTACTTCCAGCCTAAATATACCAGCGATAGTTGAACAACTGACACCACGCAAGCGAGACTTTGAAAGTCAAAAAAGCAAGCAGCTGTTCAGTCCAAAAAATTCACCCGCAACTGAACTACGGTGGCATTATGAAGTTTAATGTAATGCAAAATTACATAATTCCCTGTAACTTTCAACATCCTCCTACAGACTAAAGGCTTTTTGTGAAGTAAGTATCTAGTAAAATAAGCATATGGTCACTTAACATATGATAGCTCGACACACAATGCATACCAGCGTCTAATTTGTAGTCCTGTTCTGTCTTCACAGAATTTTGAAGGAATAATTACACAGAATTTTGAAGGAATGACGAAGCAATGAGCTGCCTTCACAGCCACGGTCATGGCTGGTCACTTGAACAGGTCACAGACTTGTTTAGTGACATCAGATTTCCCCAGGGCTCTCGTACAGACCAGAAGATTTCATTACAGCGTGTTTCCAACAGCTGTTAATGGAGCTAACACGGAGTACACAGTAGGAAGGATTGCTTTGGTTGGTAGATAGAGAAAAGATAAGGAGAGAAATGGATTCTCTCCCTGCATGTGTTTATTTTTTGTTTTGTTTTAAGGCCATTTGGTTGCTTACTCAAATCCTCAAACCCTTCTGTTGTGACAGGAGGCAACACTGGAGAGAACTACTCCTGGTTACAAACACCACAGACTAATTTAAACTAAACTGAATAAATCCCAATCTGTCCTCTGCTAAGAAGGTTTGTGCTTTTTTGCTTTTTTTTTTTTCCTCTTCTACTTGTGAGGTTCTGATTTGGTTTTATGTAGTTAGGATTCTGATATTTACAACTGCTTCAAGGCTATTTTCCCTTATTTTTTGTTTGCTTTCTTGCCCCGTCATCTTTATTTACTAAATAACAGCAGCCACTAGCCGATTCAAACCTTAAGTAACAGTCAGTGCCTGAAGTCCTACAGAAAGCTTTGTTACTAAAAGAACCCACAACCATAAGCAAGCCCAGTCACTGATTGCTCCATTTTGCAGATTCCCAATCTTTGACACTGCAATTACCCAGCAATTTGACACCCCAGCATTTCCCACGGCTGAAGCATCTGTAATGCTACGCTTCTTCCCTCAACAGGAAGGAAAGAAAATATTACTACAGACTTTTACCCGTTTTAACTAAAACTTTTGTCAGGCACCTGAAGCACTGCCCTCCCAGAGACCCAGGGGAGCTGTCGGAGGGCTGGGAAGCCCTGTCACCGTGCTCCACCTCTACAGAAAAGATCTGCTGGCCAGGAACTGTTACAAACAACTTTATACTTCACGTCCAGCGAAACTATCTGCCCTGAAGTAACTTCGCTTTGTTTTTTCCCAGGCTGGCAGAATCTCTCACAAGTGTTAGAAAACCAGACAGGCTTTATAAAAGGTGCAGCCCCACCTCTACCGCATCAGCCAGTCCTACCCCGACACCAAAAGCTGAAAGCGCCCAGCGTTC